TGCTGCTTATTCCTGTGCATCCCTCAATCCTGAGCTTGTTTGTTAATTTACTTTATAAAAACCACCATTCTATTGTAAGAACCAAAAATTACACTACAGTAATAAAGGACATCCACTCCAAAAACAGCACAACAGCAGCTGTTCTTGAAAGCAGCTAAAACTACATTTCAGCAAAGTGATTTTGCCTGGTCTGTAAAATACTAAAGAGGTTGAGCTATGGTGGAGCTGGCTCATAGACGGTCACAACTTGGATGTCTAATACTGCATATCTACTAGTTCTTCTAGGATGTTGTCACAAACTCTAAAAAAATTTAGTGAAGACCAGAATTCTAGTAGGTTCTGGATCTCCATGATATGAAACGGATTAGAACGGAATGGATCTGTGACCACCTAATAAATTGATTTGAGGGAAATTCCAGGGGGCAGGTGAGGATGAAAAGCAGGACAAATAAATAGTCCAGTGTGGAGCTTTAAGAACACAGCCTCATTGCAGAAATACCTTTGTCTCCGCATGCAAAGTCTGCATGGATTACCAAATGAGGTAGGTTTAATAGCCAACCAGCTGCAGCTGGTTGACAGGTAGTGATAAAATAGGGCTAAGGTGCCAGAACAACAGCAGCAAAAGTGCAGAGAAGTTCAACTCAGAAACTCTGTCCTGACACCTTATTCTACAGGGCAATACCCACAGCTGAATTGTCATGTTTCGGCTAGTGCAAACTCTCTGATGGAGAGGACTTTTGTATCTAGAATCACTCAATTTAATCTGTCTCTCTGATTTAAAATCAAATCAGCCAGAAAAAGTTGTGCCATGTGATAGTGCCAATTACCTGTGTTTCCTTTTCGTCTAAGTTTTTAAATTATGTGCACTGCGGGGGGGGGGGGGAATCAAAGCTTTCTTTGATGAAATAGGCAAGGGGCATTTCTTCTTAAGCAGAAGAATTTCCTGTTGTGCTTAGTAATGTTGTGTATTGGACAGTACTGGATGACTGACTAGCCATGCTAATCAGTTTTTTTCCTGGAAAAGCAAACAAGGTGGGAAGGATTCACTGAGCTCCGAAAACATCTGTTTGGAGATTTGCAACCTCTTTGGAAAGTTTTGGATTTTGCCTCAGTGAAACACAACTTTAAAAAAAAATGATTGCTAGTAGATTAAACCCTTGCATCGTTATCTTTTTAAATTAATAATTATTTAGCTATACTTGGGCATAGATATTTAGGCTATAAAAATTGTTCCCTTTCCTTTCATGTCTTCCTAATTCCCCATCCTTTGTGGGACAAACATACCGTAACATTCTTTTTGATGTTGCTAGTAGAAGTTTGAGGAGGTGAATGCATTCTGCAGGAATTGAGTTTTTTATAGACACTCTTACATCATATCACAGAAACCTGTTTCCACAGTATAAAATTGAGTGGAGAGGGCATGTGATGGGGCCAAAATGATTAAACTAATAGCTCTTCACTATTATGAAATAATAGTGCAGACCTGGATATTAACAAGAAAAATACTAATATTTCAATCTGGAATATTACCAAGTTTCATGGAAATACATGGATGATTTTGCATGCTGTTTGCGAGCACCCTCATTAAGGTGTGTGAAAACTTCTTGTTATTGAAGCACTCTTAGCTCTTACATATATTGTTGAAGCTTGGAACACCCAATAGCAGAACTGAAAGGCCTCTGGATGTTTTCGTTGATTGCGAAAGATACAGAATATGGAAAGAATATGAAGTATACAGATAGGAACATAAGAAGAGCCCTTTTGAATCAGGCCAAATGCCTGTGAAAATCAATTGTGCATTTTGAAAGCAGCACATAAGCTAGTTTATTTAATTGTTCTCATCATGCAGGAACTATTAAAATATCTTACAGTTCTCCTGATGATTTCCTACTTAGAAGCCTAAGCTAAGGACACATATTAACTAGGATACACATATTAACTGAAGGAAGGAAAACAAAAAAATGGCCATACCATAGACAGATTTATGGGGTAGTTTTCTACCCAAAGCTTGACATCCCCTGTGGTGCAGTTTGCCTGTCATACTAAGCCAAACCATGACTAAGCATGAAGCAAGTATGCAGTACGTGGAATAAAAATCACAACCACTTGGTTTCTCCTCAGTCCTGCTTCTATGCTCTTCGGAGCTAAGACATGGTTTGGCTACCTGGGCTTATACTTACGCACACACACCCCGAACCAAATAAACCCAGACGTTAGCCAAGCACAAACCCTGGCTACATCTTGTGGCTTGTGTGGAGCAGATACAATTTTTTCAGATAACCCACCATGTTAGACTTAGTGTTGTGTCTGAACCAGACCTATAGAACATCTGTCACAAGCCATGTGTGTTGTGTCAGGAGAATATCACTTTAATCTGCTTCCCTGGAGCAATTTTTGCTTGAAAAACCGTGGGACATGTTAGCTAACACATTAATTCTTAAACAGAAACTAAGAATCTAACAGACAGGTTTTTGGGGGGTTGTTGTTGTTGTTGTTTTACCCCAAGTTGAATTTGTGTGTCCTAGTGTGGTGCAATGTTACAAAAATTCAGGTCTGCTTCTCTGGGTCAATCTTTGCTGTGAAATATCATTGGGGACAATTCTCCCTCCCAGTAACATTGGTTGAGGGTGGGGCAGTGCCCCATTAGTGGGATTTTTTTTGCCTCCAGCACTTTTTACTAATGGAAAGAAAACTGAAATTTAGAGACATTGCATACTACTGTGCAACTGACAAACCAGCACTGTATTGTAGGTCTATTTCTGTATGAATTCTGCAATGAAAAGTGCACTCAGAGTGAATGTCAACCCTGTTTTTCATAACTAACTGACAACTTGGCTATGGGAATCCATGTATTTGTCTCAGAAACTACATCTTCAGAATCCTCTAGTTGGAGCTTGTTCTTTTTATAGGAGACTTGGAACCGACAACTTGCAAAGGATAATGGGTTTGTTCCATTTTGCAGGCACAGAAAAGCACTCTGTATTTAATAGACACTAAGCATTCTCTGTCCTGCTTGAGAGCTTATTGTAATACAGAGACCACTTTATCTGTTCAAGGACAATAATTTATTTGTACATAGCAGTGAGAGTCTTCAGCCGCACAGTACAACTGCATAATTTCATAAGTTGTGTTTAATTCTGTTATTTCACCATGACTATATTTGTGTTGCTGGTTTTTCTTCACAGTTAGGAAGTCAACCTGATAAGCATCAGAAACTCATGACCAGCTGTGTTATGCCTTTGTCTTTTTATCGTGCTCTGAAATTTTATGCACAGTCAATGCAGTTGAGGGGAAAAACACTGTTTTCCTTGCTGGCTGGCTGTCCTACACAAACACATGCAGATATTCCTCCTGGCTGATACTGGGCCTTGGGGAGGTCTTTAAATTTAAGTGCCTTCTGGACACTTAACTGTGTTGGAGATCTCTGCAGAAACAATTAAGTGGAGAAAATAACTTCTGTAAGGCCAGACCGCTTGAGATATGATTATTGGCAAAGTATGTTTCCTTTGGGGTTGATAGTTTTCAGAATCAATTTGATTCCCAAGTCCTTACGAATTTGTTTTGTTGCAGTTCGGTATGAGAAGCAAGGAATGAATTAATTACATTTTTAAAAAGCCACCCATTGCCTGTTCTCAGGGCTTTTTTCAGCCAGAACTCACTGGAACTCAGTTCTGGCACCTCTTGGGTGGGCGCCATTGCCATTATAAGAGAACCAGGGAGGTGTTCATGGTGAGTTCCGGCACCTCTTTTTCTGGAAAAATATTCTGATAATTGGCAGTGAATTTAAAATGATAACAAAACAATGTGTTCTCTGTGTACATCCTTGCATTTTGAGTTCTGTAGTTTGGATTTGGCTTCTTGCATTATATGGCACCAGTAGCCATTGTTTCTAAAGGACTAGAATAGGAATAGCTTTTTCTACAGTGTATTTATTATCAGGAAACAGTAAACTGTTTTGAGGTTTTTTGTTTTTGTTTTTGCAGTCAAGCAGTATATACACTATATTTAATAAGAAACAAATAAATAAGATAAAATAGGGCCAGACCCATTGCCTCTCCTGCTTTTTAGGTACACTGCCATTATGTGTTTACTGTCTAAAGAACAAGAAAGGCAAGTCTGATCAACCTTTTTGGCCATGTTTTCCTGCCTATTCCATATCCTCCCTAAGGAGGCTCACCAGTGACTCCAAAATTGCTGTCTATAATTAGGTGCATGGCAAACCTGCCTGTGAAGGTGGCCTCCCTAGAAGATTTTAAAGCCCAGCCAGGCTCATACTGGGTGATATGTACGGCTTTATAGTTCATAGCCAGCACTTTGAATTGTGACCAAAAATGAACCAGTAGCCAGTGCAGCTGTTGTCACAATGATATTCTCTTCTCCTTGTAACTGGCTTGGGTCAGCTATTTGGACACAGCATCTTGGATCCACTGAAGTTTCCAAACACTTTTTGAAAGCACATTGCATTAATCCAAACAGCATGTAACTAAGGATGAATGAATGAATGTAACTAAGGTGTGCATCATTGTAGTCAGATTGGACGGCTCCAGGAATAGGTGCAGCTGGCACACTAGTTTTAAATGTGCATGGATGATGTGTATATAATAGGCCTCCCCAGTCTAATGCCCTGTAGATGTTTGGGGCACACATCCCATCTTTCCTGATCTTCAGCCATGCTGTCTGGGGCTGATGACAGTTGGCTCAGAAACATCTGGAGGGCTCCAGGTTGGACAGCTGTGGTTGATTTAGTGAATCTATGTGTATATGGCATCACTCTGTGGGATCAGTCTGGGCTGAAACAGCCCACTGTCAGGAGAAACTTCTGTATAACACGGTGGAGTCATTGAGAACCAGATCTGCTTTAGTCTTCAAAACCCCATCCTAGATTCAGTTTCTTAGTGACAGTTGCATGTGACACATATATGTTTCAACCATATACAGATGTTTGATATTTCTGTCTGACATAAATATGTTGTGAAAATACTATTCATTATTCTTTGCAGGCAAGATGGTTCTGGGAAGCTTACTTTCAATCAATGAAAGCTATTGCTTTGGCAACCCTCAAGATTATCAATGACAGGATCTACCCATATGCTGCCACATCATATGAAGAATGGAATGATCCCCCAGCAATTGTAAGTAGAGCTATATTTCTATTAAATTTAATATGCTGGGCCTCTTCAAAAACAGACTCCCATTGTGATCTGCTGATATTTTATATTTTGCTGTTAAACACAAATTTCACTTAACTTTGTCCAAAATATAGCCTAAAGGGAAATATTTGTGTATTAGCTTGCTACACTATAGTTCTTTTTCTCTTAAAATGGGAGTCTTAAGCTATTGTCATATGTTAGAAGTCTAGTTTTGGCCATTGCAAGCAGTTCTTAAGATAAGTGCACTGCATTTCTGCTCTAAGAAATTTGAACTACTTGTTAGCAGAGGCACTTCCAAGAAAGTGGCCGGGAAAGCTTTTTGACTGAGAATAGTAAATGTTGGACTCAGGATGGCAAATGAGTGATTGCTGTTTGTTCAGTAGGCATGCTCTGTCTGACAATAGAAACTGATTATTATTGCTGAATTTTGGTGATTGTAGTGCTATTCCATGATTACATTGCAAAATGTGGAAGCTGAAATTGTAACTAATCTCCAATAAAGAAGTTAGGACATCTTACAAGCTTCTACTTCAGAGAGACTCTCCAGAGTAGATTTTGGGGGTGCTACAGCAGGGAGGAAATGAAAGCAGAAGTCTTGTTGTGCAAGTTGAAGTCCTCTTGCACTCCATTGGATACAATCCAGTGTGTAGCAAAATAATACCTGTGACTCCCCTCATCCTTTTAACTGAGAATTTTAATTTATTGGTTTACTACCCCTATGACACTTGCAGAGTCAAGGGAGTGTTCATATTTGTCAGTTTATTGCATGTTTAGGGAGTACTCCTGTGCCACCTTTTGAGCACCATGGTACAAAATGTATGGCTCTGTTTTGTCATTGCTGTTTCAGTGTTCTCAAAAGGGGTGTCATAAATTGTAGTTTAACCACCACTATTTTAATAATCGCCAGGAGACCTGCTGTATGCAGAGCAATAAATGTACTTTCTCAGCAGACCTCCATTTTCTCTGTGACTGACTGCTAGAGAGCAACTTGGCTGTGAGACAGGAAAAGAGATGCCCTACTAAATGAAATAACAGATAAATAGTTCAAATAATGGCTCATGTGTAAGTTAGAGTGAGAGAGCAGCTAGTGCAGAGAATGGTATGAAGGTTCTACTGCTGAAACTAAGCAGCTCTTCTAGTATAAGCCATCTTGGGGAAAGATTGCTTGGGACCAATAAGTCAGTTGCTCTGAGCTCCTCAGGGAGAGCCGATTACACAAAGATACTGCTATCTAAATGCTTGTTATACAAAAATTCACTTATCCAAACACAAGGAATTAGTACCAAATCCATGCTATACACGCTACAGATTCACATACCCGAACAGCTGAACCTGTCATACATTCTCCTACCTCATGTCAAATGTAGCGTCCCTAATATATTGTCTGTTCTAGTCTAAGCAGTTTGCCTTAGTCGTGTAAAGTTAAGTTATAGTAGGTTTTGAAAAACACTCCTGCTTTTCTCAAAGGACTGATCTTGAGAGGGTTTTTAAAAAAACAAAAAACAGAAAACACCCATGAGTTTTATTAGTGTCCAGTGGGTTTAGATGTCATGATGATGGATATCAGTACTGTATTATTATATTGAGCCATCGTGTTAGCAGTGGTCTGAGAAAAGCATTTTATATAAAAACTAAAGCTATGCTTGTTGCCATGAGTACTTTAACTTACCAAACATACTGTTTGGAAAAGATTTTACAGTGCATCAGCTGAATATCTTTCAGAAATGTTTCCAGGTGAAATTTTATGGCATCTATCCTACAAAATGTAGGACAAGGTAACGACAAAGGCCTCTTAAGACCATACACTTTATAGCTATATGCAGCTTGATTGAAGGTTTTGGCACAGATGTAGCCCAAAAAATGTTCACTTAAAGAAAACTGTATTGAACCATTTTAGTTTCAGATCACTTGACACTTCAACGTATCAGTTAAAATATTGGAAATGTTCAAGTGTTTCTGTAGCTGGATACTTACCTGCTTATTTGAGGAGAATATATTTCCTTTCACATGAGTAACTTGTCAGACCTGAGAGACACCTCAATGAACAGCTATTAAAATAGCACAGGGTTTTTCTTTTGGACTGGCCAACAGATCTTTGTAGATCCTAGTTTGTTTGGACTAAGTAACAGGCGTAGTCGTTGTGTGAATTATGACTTACCTTTGGAGAAACTTGCCCCTAAAATTAATGGAGTAAATACAGAAACTGTTAAAAATGCACAGACACCATGGTGCTTAGATGTCAAGGCCATGCCAACATTTAGGTAGAAGCTAATTTTGTCGTTGCTAACAGCTGCTAAGTTTCTGTTAGTGGTAAATGAAAAAAATGTAGATTTGCTACCTATTACAGGTTGGTTTAACAAAACATGGAAACTCTCAGTCATGGAGAGATCTCAAACCAAATTAAAGGGGCATAAAATCCATACTCTACGGGTGACTTCTTTTTTAAGGCTCCCATTTCTTGTATGCGTAGACTCAGCAATAGCAATGCACAAAATACCATTGCACCTTAGTTCAATTTTTATTTTGTCATGGATAAGGGTAGTAGAAAACTTGTTCTAGAATTGTAGGGTGTTTTTTTTTACTGAACTTTGTCTTTCTGACCATTTATAGCCTGAAATGTAAATAAACTACAGTAGTACCTCGGGTTAAGTACTTAATTCATTCCGGAGGTCTGCTCTTAACCTGAAACTGTTCTTAACCTGAAGCACCACTTTAGCTAATGGGGCTTCCTGCTGCCGCTGCGCCGCTGGAGCACGATTTCTGTTCTCATCCTGAAGCAAAGTTCTTAGCCCGAGGTACTATTTCTGGGTTAGCGGAGTCTGTAACCTGAAGCATGTGTAACCTGAAGCGTATGTAACCTGAGGTACCACTGTATAGTTTTTGCTTGGTTTATACACCTACTGCCACCGCCACCCAAACTTCCACTGATCAGGTGTCGACAGGGAAGAGGAGTGGAGTGGAGGATGATGCGACTAAATCCACCCCCCTTTCGCCTTTTAAACTAGCTGATCATCAGGATTTTAGCTTTAAAGAGAAGTTCCAAGTGCCTGCTTGGCTGCTGGGTTATTACAAAATGCTGGCTGAAAAGGGGGAAAACAAACAAGCAATTGCTTGTCAAGTTTGAGTGCTAGTTTTAGCCTAGGTAAACTAGAGTGCTTTGCTTACTGAAGAAGTGACTGATGATATTCATTATGAAACTCAAATTCTGCATTAAGAGAAATTATGTTCAAGACATATTATGCAAATTAACACAGCATTAAGGGTTGGATCAAGACTTCCCCAGAACAGAACTTTGCTAACTAGACACAGCCTCAGGTGGAATAAAGGAGGCATTTTTAATTGGTTCCTCCTGCACCTCACTATGTCCCCTCAAAATCTGCTCTGGAAGGTTTGAGGACCCTACAGAATCATGTAAGAGGTTGGAGGGGTTGCAGAGGGAAGGAGAAATAGGTGTCAGTTTTGGCCACTCTCCTTTCCTCCAGTGGGAGCTGCCTCCTGGATCCAAATTCTTTCTGTAAATGGAAGGAGCTCTTCAGGTTTTGCCCTTTGACAAGTTGTGGATGGGAAGCATGGGGGAAATGTCTCTGTGCATTCAGTGGAAGTACATTCTTCTTGCAGAACAAAATAAAACAAAGGTATTCCTTGGCAGGTAATTCACAATAGAAACTGCATTGAGGTGACAATAGATACTTAAAACAAAACACAGCCCCCAAACCACCCTTCCTTGGAAAAATGATATAAGTATAATTTTAGTATTAAAAATGTGTTGGAAAGAACATTTTGATCAATGTATCATTAAATCCTCCTTACTTCTTTCATAATAGTAGTCTATTATGGTTCAAACGGAATATGATTTCACAAAGTAATAAAATATGGCTGCTGAGAAGAAAATTGTAGGAGGGAAGGAAAATAGCACTGCTTTTGTTCATGAGATCAGTAAAAAAACTTTTATTATCACCATGTTAGCAATCCAGCAACGGGGGAGTAATATTCACCCTCATAGTGTGCATACAAGCATGTGGGCGAGACTGAAGGAGTGAGTAACCAGGAACAGTATCTTCAAATTGTGTTGGCTAGCTCAACTAAAATGTCCAACACCTCAAAAAGGATCCAGAAAAAGTTCAGAAAAGTGGCAACCAAAATGATCACGGGGTTAGGGCGAGGCACTATGAGGAAATACTACAACACTTGGGACTTTTTTAGTTTAGAGGAAAAGGCAACTAAGTGTGGACGTGATTGAGGTGTATAAAACCATGCATTGCATGAAGAAAATGAGTGCTAGAACTCAGGGGCATTCAGTGAAGCTGGTCATCAGAAGATTCAGGAGAGACAATGTCCTTCTTCACACAGTTAAACTATGGAATTTGCTCCCACAAGAGGCGATGATGGTCGCCAACCTGAACAGCTTTAAAAGAGGATTGGACAAATTCATGGAGGATCAGGCTATCAGTAATGGCTGTTAGCTCTGTTGGAATCAGCATACCCCTTAATACCAGTTCCTGGGAATCACATGTGGGGAATCACAGTTGTTGTGCACAGATCCTGCTTGCAGGTTGCGCAGGCTGAGTAGGCAGGTGGTCTTCATCTTCCTTCTGCACTCCAGTCTGTGCCAGCGAAGTGGCTCAGGAGCGTTATTCTATCTTCTCCTTTTTGTTCTCTTTCTGTCTTGGGGATTTATTCCACTTGATTATTTACGCAACATATTTATATGTTGCCTTTGAAAATATATTTAACATCACAATAGTGTTCTTTGACTTGGGTATTGCATTGTTGGCACATAACTTCGGTTGTATTTTTAATTGTTGTAATTGTGTTGGAGATAGAGTACAGATGTTTTCAGAAACAAACACTATAAATGATTATACACTAATCATTGGGAAATCAGTCATTCTCACTTATTACTCATAAGATTAGCCCCCACCCTTATGAAGTTTTTCTCTTTCCATGTGGGGTGAGGTTCAGAGTCCTTCATATCTCAGGAGAAGTGAATTCCATCAGGATCTTTTTTGTGGGGGGAATAACTTTCTTCTTTCTTTACTGAGTCTTAAAATAGTTTTAATACTGCATGCAGTTAAAGAAGAAGAAAGTTCGCTTAGCCAAAGCAAAGGAAATAAATTCTCCAGTAGCAAATGGAAACTTTAAAATGTTTTTTGGGGGTTTTTTTTGCTAAATGGCAGTCTGACACAAATGAGTCGCTTCTTGTGGAGATGTTCCTTAAAAAAAAAAAACCATCACAAAAAGTTAGGCCAGTTTCCCAGCCTCCCACTCAGGTTCTGGATTCCAGTGCTTTGGCTTCTTTTGCTGTCTGCGGAAAGGAGACTGCTGTCAAACAGCCAGGAATGCCAGACCGAGCAATGTGAGAGCCCTGTTGCATTGCAGAGTTGACACTTGCAACTGGATATGGCTTGTACATAAAACTGATTCACGATAAATACCCTATCAGTCTTGGGTTAATTACTGTGGCTCCTGTAATGAATATTAGCTGGTTGAGCGTTGGGAAGCCGGCAGTTGGGGGTGGGGAGTGAGTTAGAATTGTCTGAGCCATGGCTGAGTGTCAGCACTTTGTCAAAGAAAGTGATGGATGATTACACCATCAGTACCAGTTGTGGGGAGTGTGTGTGAGAGAGTGAGAGAGATCAGTTGGCGATCTCCAATACAAGGCCTGGATGCACCTGAAACAAATGTTGACTGATGCGTTTTCTATTGTTGGGAAGAACCATCCTTATGTCACCATCAATTTCATGCCCTGCTTCTATAATAGGGATTTAATTAGGCTTCTGTTGAGTTAATTACCTGCATTGTTTGCCTTTCTCCAACAGAAGTTTGTAAGACTCAAGTAAATCATGGAGGTTTGAATTTGCCCAATTTCCTGCCGAAAGTGAGGTCAAGAGGTCCCAGACTGTAGACACACTTTTCAGGCAGGCAGCAGGGGGTTGGCTCTTAATGGTGCTTCAGCAATGCCTAAATGCCCTTTTGAAATGTTACTCTCAACTAAGGAAACTTGATTATTTTTGAGGTGGGGGCGTTCACTGTTGGATGTCAGAGTAGCAGAACATATTCTAGCTCAGCCATTCTTTACCAGTGTCTCAATTACACAGTGGGCTCCTTTCAACAAAGTGGCACAGCTGCCTAGATGCTACATTTCTTTATCTAGACTTAGAAATGTGTTGGATGTTAAATGTACTATAAGAATTTCCATCATCGTACTAGTATCAAAAAATAAAATGTTGCTTTTATGATATTGTTCATTTTGAAGGCAAACCTATTGGGATCAGTAGTAAATAGGGTCAGGCAATTTGCCTCATTTGCCATAGCCATGAATCAAAGCTGTAGTGCTGGAGCTCCAGCAATTGATTAGAGATTACTTAAAGGAAGCTTTTGATTGCTTTGTTTCATTTGTCATTTGTCTGCCCTGCCCATCATTTGTTCCTGTGCTGCATTTGTAGTACAATGGTACCTCAGTTTAAGAACAGCCCTGTTTACGAATGATTCGGTTTACGAACTCCACAAAACCAGAAGTAGTGTCCTGGTTTGCAAACTTTACCTCGGTCAAAGAACGGAATCCGAACAGTGGAAGGGCACTGGTGGCGGGGGGCCTCTTTAGGGAAAGTGTGCCTCGGTTTAAGAACGAACTTCCGGAACGGATTAAGTTTATAAACCGAGGTACCACTGTATGTACATGTAATGATTAACAGATGAACAGTGAAAGACAAGAGCCAAAGAACAACTTACATATGAGTAGGCACCCAGTCTTGTTTTAAGTGGCAAATAAGCTCCCCAACTTGCCATTGCAGGCATGAAGCTTGAAAGAATGCTACTTTTAATGTTTTGTCCAGACATTGTAAAAAATATTGTAGGAAACACCATACCTTTCCAGAGACAGAGAAAGAGAGAGAGAGAGTAGTTTTTCCAGAAAAATGCATATCTTTTCTAATCATTTCTTGCTGGTATACTACTGCACCATTTTATACCCATTGTCATTCAAGCACCAGTAATCTCCTGACTGAACTACTCTGGGTAACATGCTGTACCCAGAGCTGACCATTGACCTTGCTATGCCATTAAATGATTCAGAATTGTGCTGTCTGACAGTTTTCTGAGATGGCGCTTATTACTCTGGTTTTAGTTAATCTACAGTGACTCCCTAATCATGGTGCTGTTACTACTATTTAAAAGTCCTCAATGCAGTGGAGGACGCTGTGATTGCTCCACATTAAAAAGAACTATATAAAAAAACTTGGTGCCCAGGTAAAATTAGTGTATGGGAGGATCTAGCAAAACTCTATTGCAGAGAAGATCTAAATCACTTTCCTATGAACATTAGTAGATGACTGCATCACAGTAAGCCTTCCGCTCCAGCACTGTTCAAACTATTGCCGTGTTCTGTAGTGTTTTGTATTACAGCTCCCATCATCTCCCATCATGGGCCATGCTTACTGGGGCTGAAGGGAGTTGTAATCCAAAACTTCTGGAGGGCCAGTAGGTTGGGCAAGGATGGTCTCTTTAGGACACACGCCCCTTCCAGCTGCCCCTGATGGTTGGGAGATTCCCTAGAGCACTATTCAATAAAGTGTGAGTGGTTCTTGTTGGAAATGAAAATTGAGAATATCCGTATGTGCAACAAAATTATTTAGCTGCATATCAGACTCTGTTGATCCTAGCCAATATGTTACAATGTCCTATGCAAGGGTGAAGTTAATGCCCTAGTTTTTCATAGGCCTAGATTTTTTAAAAAATTGCTTTTCCCCTGTCTATATTCTTTAAAGTTAGTCTTTTATTGTGTCACCGGGAAAAGAAATGTATACTACAAAATGCATTCTGTTGGGACTCTACATTTTGGCTCTACTGTGCCTTATCTGCATCTCTGCCAGCTAAATTGGCTTCCTTATGATGGTAAAATAAGTCTTTAAAAGTATTTAGGGAACATTAGGTGGAGTAAAGAACTAAAGTTGATCTTTGCCTCTTTTCTTTTTTTAAAATGCTTGAAAGGTAGACTGTTTAAAACCATAGAACAAGCCTATTTTTGTTGAAGGTTGCTTTTTTATCCTTCTGTATTGAACCAAGAGTATGTTTTCTTTTTTATTTGTGCCCATTTTGTGTCAGGTTTATTAATTTGCCTCTTTTTACTTCATTTCCCCCCAGAAATTGTGGCACTAGGCTGGTTTTCTGTTTGTTGGCCTAGTCTGAATTCATATAAAGATTAAGCTTCCTTTTGGGAAGAGAGATGTGGGGAAGAAGCAAGCCAGGGTAGCCGAATCTTTCTGGTTTTCCAGTAATCTGTCTTTTATTCTCCGGTAGCCCTGAACATACTTGATAGTTTTTATTATGACTTGAACAAATGCACAGAACATGTTTATATTTAACCGATATTGGTGTTTTATCACAAAAAGAGGCTTTCAAAGACCAGTTTTCCCTCTAAAATGCTTAATGTGTTGGGGTGCTGATCTGGTCCTAATGATGGAAATTGCATTCAGTTGATTTATTCCAATTTTATTACTGAAAAGTGACCTTTGTTTAATCCTACTTCTTTCCTTTCTGCAGAAATGGAGCAGCGTAAGCAATCCACTATTTCTTCCGCTGATTCCACCTCAGTCGCAAGGCTTCACTGCTATTGTCCTGACCTATGATCGGGTTGAGAGCCTCTTTAGAGTCATCACTGAAGTCTCAAAGGTGCCCAGCCTTTCAAAGTTGTTAGTAGTTTGGAACAACCAGAACAAAGTTCCACCAGAAGGTAAGTTGTGGGGAACCAAGCTCCTCCTATGAGGTGACCCATTTTTCCTTTACACCCTGGCTTGAAGTCATGTCATACTGAAAACAGAAGAGCTTCCTTCATAAGCATGGGGATGATCCAAGCCATGCCTGTGAAGGAACTCACTGGGGCTTGAAGTCACCTCTCAAACGCTGATTGGCAGTGACTTAAAGCCTCTCTTCCAACAGGGATCAATTGCTCTCCAGAGTTCCTGAGTGTTGCTAATTCTGGCAGGGCTTGCATCTGGCCTCTAAATTAAAAAGGCACTGGATGCAAGCTCTGCTAATCGTAGAACAATCAGGAGACCACTTTTAAGGTTCCTGATTGTTCCTTAACAGCCACATCTTGACCTGCACCACAGCTGATATCATATACAATGTTGGCTTGGAGGAAAATGCCTCATGAGCCAAATTAGGACCACTGCTGTCCCTAACTAAGTCTGTGGTACCAAGGTTTCACATACCTGCCATAACAGCTTAAGCACAATATTCTTTGGAGCTTACTTTTGACCATACTATTGAGGAAAGAGAAGTATTTTTTGTGATTGTCCATCAGTTGTGGAACTCTGTTAAGAACACTGTGAAAGTTGAAGCCTTTGAGAAATGTTGTGGATACTGTACGTCACTGTTTAATGGCTTTTAGTGCCCAGATTTTAAGTAGATGTGCAGTAATGTGAATTCCTAAATGTAATTTAATTTCAGTATAACCATCTTGAGAAAAAGCAGAATAGAAATTAAAATACAGTGGTTCAGGGCACAAGTATTCTTGATTCTAAAACTAACTCCACAAATTATTTATCTTCCCTTGTCTCCTTTTAAACAAGTTATGCAACTTCCATGTTCAGATTTTCAAAATCACAAAGTAGATCACTTACTTGGCAAGTCGTGAAATATTACTATAAAAGGAAAATATGCACTTAAAATAAAATATTGGGTGCTGCTCTGTTCAGCTATTAAGTCAGAAGCAACCACAGACTGTTTGCCAATGGAAGTTTTCCTTCCCTGCCAGACCATACTCATGAAAATACTGACCAATTGTTTAAAAGCTAGGCTTCATCTCATGAATGACTCTGGTGTGCCAGTGCTTATTGCTTTTCCAAGCCCTATTTGTTACCTTCAGTTCTCACTTCATTGTACTCTTGTTCTTCTAAATAGAGCAAATCCTACCAAAATTTAACAGTGAACCTTTTCATGAACTTTAATATCAGTATATTTCAAATGTCCCATGAAATTACTGCTTAGACCCTAGAATGTTATATGCCATCTCAGCCAAACTGCATGTTCACCTACCAGTGATGAGTAAATGTTAATTGACGGTTAGTGAATTTCACTTTCTTGCTTTGAGGTAATAGAATTATCAAGTGTATAATTGAACATTGCATTTCTGCATGAAGCCTGCTTTTGCTGAAATTCCCATTGCTTGAAATTCTCTAGAATCTAAGAATGCATTCTCAAAGTCAGAATGTCTAACCCAGGGATGCAGGCCTCCAGGACACTGTCAGGCCATGCCCCCTCCCCAGCACTCTCTTTGAGTGCTTTTGCCTGGCTGAATGTGCCCTTGACCTCTGTTAATGCCTCTTGCTTGCCTGGATGGAAGGAGCTACCTTTAGAATGGGCAGTTACAAGGTCACGTCTAAAGAGAGCCTCCCTGAATTCTAAGTATTGCAACAAGTACTGACTTCCTGTGAAAAAGCCCCTCTTCAGTAAAGTGCACAAGTGGGTGCTTGTCAGCTCCAGGCACTTTTGGAAGATTATTTGAATCCATTTTCACCTGAATCCCTGATTGTGAACTGCTTTTACAGCACTTGAGTGCTGAGAGTACAGGTTATAATGGCCTACAACGAATAAACGCTGTGGCCTATTGTGCTTGCTTATGAATCTCTAGTCAAAGACAGTCAAAGCTAAAGTGATTGCACCAGCCATAACTTGCTGAGTAACTATGGATTGGATATGCTGCCAAGCGAGGAGGAAGATGGAGTAACTTGCTGTCCACTCTTCCCTTCCACACTTGAGCATATGCCTTGAACCTGCTACACTCCAGTTTTCTTGGGGCAGGCAGCAGTGGTATCAACAAGGCAAAGAAGTCACTGACTGCCTACTGCTGTTCACCAGAACTTCTCAGAATCGTTGGTCAGCTTGGGATAAAGAAAAGGACATGGCATGTTGCACCCTTCTCCACAGCCCAGACCAAGCTCCAACAATTGCTTTAGGAGTGGAGATTTCTTTAGGGGTCCATCCTCCTCCAGTGCTGTCTCTTTTGTTTGTTTCTTTCTAGCAACTGGACAAAAGAATAGTGAAGGAGTATGGGATCCGGATCCCTCTTGTGTTTCTTGAGAAGAGAAGTTGTGTGAGGGAAGTTAGAAGTAGGTGGTGGTTCATGTCTTCATACATACAGGTTCATACATACACAAAGGTGTATGTATATATACCAGAATTGTGTGCGTTGCCCTGTCCAAGTTCACACCCTGGGTTTCTGGGTGTGTGTTTCCACTTTTATTTATATAAATAAAAACATGCACTTTCTTTCTAGTACTTTGAGCTGTTGTGCTTTTAGTGTGTCAAAGAAATAGAATACTAGAAATGATTTGGGGTAGAAAGGGGTTGATTGTGTTGATTACTGGTTGATCAGTTGATTACTGGGCAGCTTTATTTGATGCATGTAGTTAATAGATACTGAAATATTTTGCATTTGGGTGAAATATTTTTGTACCTTTGAATAAAAGAAGCCTATCTGAAGCTTTGTTATAAAATGTATAACTGTCCTGCCTCTTGAGAGCAAAACAATCATTGAGTTTCTTAAGCTCACATGGCTTCTTACCATCTCTCCCCTGTGTGTGTACATGTTCGTTTATTTAATCCTGAGATTTGGATGAAGCCAAATTATTTGATAGCAAAATTGTCATGGCCAAGTAGTATTTCACTATTTTTAAACTTAAAACTCTGTTCATTGTAGCAGATCATTATATAACCCTTTTTCATTGATATACTGTTGAAAATATATTAAGTTGTTGACATGAAAAATAATTGGCCCTGAAGGTCATAGGTTTGTTTCCTTACTGAGACTTAGTTATTTAGCTTTACTTTCTAATAGGTATGTATTTTAATAACTTTCTTATGTGACCGCCAGCTACCCCCTTCATCTATGTATTTTTAACACTTGGATAGGTTGTGGAATGTCCTGGTCTGCTGTCGAGGGGTTTAATTTAATTTGTTTTAATTCAAATGCATACAGTTCGTTCCACCTAGCTCTTTGGTAGGATAGCAGAACTTGGTTTCACTAAGTCTTTCATTCAGTCTGTCTATTACGGCTCCTAATCCTTGGACTTCAAAGCTTCTGCCATTTATAGCCTATTAAAGCCAGGAAGTTTCTGATGGATTAGGACAAGGAATGAGTTTGAAGTTAGTAATGCACACCGCTGTCAACGATAAGGTCTAGTTTATTACCCTACGGTAGTATCTGCACATTTATGGCTATTCTCTTTTAATTGGTTATAGTAAAGCTGGGACCATTAACCTGGTTGAGTATCAAATGCAGGATATCCTGGCCAGTGCTGTATAGGGAACACATTTCTGGCTTTGAGCAAAGTCAGGTACGTTTTCTGTTATTTGAACCAGTTGTATTTTTGATATACATTAATGGGAACTAGAAAGAGAACATCAAAGGTAATTTTTGCTCATGATGGCCCTACAGTAAATTCAGATTTGAAATTGGCTTTTAATATTGGCTACTGCATCGGTGGATATAAAGGCAGTTAGCTTATCCACCTCTCCCCACAATTCCCCATTGATGGCCCCATAGTAACTGTATAAATTCATCTCTCTTTATGTATTACCAATTCTCAATTTGTAACTTGGTTGTATAATAAAAAATATTGTAAGCCTTTGCTACAGGCTTACAAAAATTAAAGGGAAATAAAATGAACTCATGCCAGTGTTCACTTTAAGAGTGTAAAGTTACAGGCAAGTTTGAAGCCCCCACCCTAGTATCTCAATGACTACCTGACATTTCTGAAGTGTGCTTCTTCTGTTTTATTTTATAATGAAACAATACTAACAAACATGTTACAAGATTATAAATCGTGTAAATTGAAGTCAGGCATAATTTTGTGTGACGTAGCTTGAAACAATTAATTGCACAAAATCTAGAACTTGTGCTCTGCCCCCTTGGTCCAGTCCTGCCTTCAGGACCAAGTCGAGAGCGTAGCATTGAGAAAGTGCCTTTCTGGCCCCTGGCAGCTACATTCTGGGGTATCGCAGGGGACTATCTTATCTCTGATGCTATTTAATATCTACATGAAGCCGTTGGGAAGTGGTCATTGGGAGTTTCAGGGCAAGGTGTTATCAGTATGCTGATGACACTCAGCTCTGTTTCTCCATAACATCTGAATCCTCCATGGTGAAATGGATGAGGGTTAGAAAAGCTGAGCTTGAATCATGGCAAGGCAGTGGCAGTGTGGATGAGTAGCTCCATTGTCTGAGAAACTGGTCAGTTGCCTGCCCTGGATGGGGTTGCACTCCCCTTTGAAGGTGCAGGTTCACAGTCTGGGTTGCTTCTGGAGCTATCTGCCACTGGATGCTCAGGTAGCCTCAGTAGCTATAAGTGCCTTTTACCAACTGTGGGTGGTTCTACAGCTACAGCCATTCCTCATTCAGGAACGCCTTTCCACCGTATTTCATGCACTAGATACTTCAGGACTAGATTATTGCAATGCACTCTTATGTGGGACTTCCTTCACAATTAATCTGGAAGCTGCAGTTAGTGCAGAATGCTGCAGCACAATTGCTGACAGGAGTGAGGCCTTGTCAGCATATACACTTGTGCTCAGAGATCTGCACTGGTTGCCAATTTGCTACTGGGCCAAGTTCAAGGTGTTAACATTAGCATATAAAGCCCATAACAAGTTGGGACCAGTTTACCTATGAGGTCGCCTTATCCCACATCTGCCCACTCGACCACTTCGATCAGCAGAATTGGCACTATTACAGGTGCCCTGTAACACCTGTTCTATCTTTAAAAGAACTTGATCATTTAGTGTGGCAGTGTCCACACTTTGCAATGATTTTAATATGTTTTAGTATTTTAACTTTTGTATGTTTTAAAGTAGGGTTGTACATTTTTCTTGATTTTACTGTTTTATCTTTTAAGGGGTGTTTTGTTTTTGTTTTGTTTTGTTTTGTTTTTAAAAATCCCAATCAAGTGTTCTATCAATTTTATGAAAGAAATAAATAAAATAATAAATGAATCCAGAAGTGTCAGCTTACAAGTATCAAATCTTTCAGAAAACCATAAATGCTCTCTCACTGGAGTATTAAAGAGCCTTTGAGGGCTATTGGCTGCATGTATGTAAATAGATAGTTAGACATCATTAGCAGAGTGTTCAGTGTGTAAGGAGGATTGTCGGCTCAGCCAGAGTGCCAACAAATGCATATGACTTGCACATAGGATATTAATTTTAAAAAAGAGACTGCTTGGAAGCTTTGCAGTGTTATAGGAGAAACTGATGTTTTTCACTTAGTCTGCATTTGCTAAAATAAATATTGTGGTCTAAATGTCTGCTGCTAGAAATATTTGTGTAGGCAGAAACATTATTATAATTCTCCCTTCTTATCCAATAACTTTTCATTAACATTTAACTCTAAACTGATGGTTTTTAAGCTCAAGAAAATTATGCAGAGTGGGTAAAAGTTACAATGTTAAGAGTTGATCTCGTTTCCACTGCTATTGGCGCACCATATTCTACAACTTGAAATTGTGTCACCTCCGTAGCATCCTCACTTCACTGTTGGTAGTTATACCTATATAACATTTAGATAACACACGAATCTCTAACACAGTTTATTCTTGCTCCTTAGCAATGCTGACAGTAGAAGGATATTAATTTAGTGAACTTATCTCTATTTACATGCAGTGCAAAAAATAAAAAATAAAAACGTTTCCTGTTTCAAGCTGAAATGATGCACAACCTGCTAAAGATGGATATCCATCTGTCTATCCCAACCTTCCCTTAAAGAACATGTGGGGTGACACATCTGGCCTTAGCCTGTTTCTTCTCACTATGACCTTTTGAGGTAAAACTAAACTAAGATAGTGCCTTAGGTCACCCGGTTCAGTAAACAGGATCTGTCTGTTAATTTCTTGCAATTGTTTGGAGTTAAGGAAATATACAGAAACATACAAAAATTAAATTGTCTACTACTGAGAGCAACTAGAATTTTTGTTTAGGTAATGAACTTACATTTAGGTCATCACAGTGTCACAGAACATGGCTCTAGAAAGCCACCGTTTCCTCCTCTCATCTTCTCTTGTGTCTCACTAGATACTCACATGGCTCCGTTCCTCTTCCATCTCATCTGATTCATACCTAGCCTATTCTGGAGTGTATACTTTATTGCCCCTCTCTGTAGCTTGCGTGTATTTGTGTACACACAAAGTGTGTGTTCTGCCACTGAACCAAGGCCTCACTAAGAGTGCTAGTAAGAATTAATTATATAAAACATTTTTTAGTTTTAACAAGGGCCACCTTGGAGTAGGAAACTGAAATGATTATATTTCCAAAACCTCTCACTCTGTATTTCTTGTTTCTTTTGCTCATCTGGGCCAATTCCGCCTTTCTTAAAACCCCTCCAAGGTAAACTTTCTTTTCATAGTTGTTTAGTGTGGTTTGGAAAGGGGTACAGTTTTCCTAAGGAAGCTGTCTCAGGTATTATGTTTGGATGCCAGCATCTGAAGTGTGCAGAACTTTATACGTTCTTTTGGAGTACTCTGTAAACTATGAAATCAGACTCTCCTAGCAGTGAAAATGGACATCTGACCATAATCTCCATCAACTGTGTTTTCAGGAAACAGAGATGTTTTAATGTACGTCTTTTATGTGTACCTACTAATGCCATATGATGTCAGTCACAGAACAGTTGAAGGGATCTCTTAGGCCTGGTATCAGTGCCACAGTACTAAGATCAGAGAGAACGTCTCCTTATGAGTAAAAGGCAGAAGAGGTCTTAGTGCTTAGTGTCTGGTCTTAGTGCTAAGTACCACCATGCCATGATTGGCAGTGAGCCCTCTGCCTGCCTTTTCTGTAAAGTGCAGGCAGAGGGTTCTTTCCAGTTACCCCCTTCTCCCAGATCTGGAGTGGAGAGGGCTGGGAGTACTGAGTGAGTCCCTGACCTGCTTGCCTGATGTGTTGGAGTGCATGTATGAGTGTTAGAGAGTGCTGAGTGCTTGGTGTCTGGTGATGTGTATTTGTAACAAAGGGAAGATAGAGGTACATACTTCCCCCCCCCCTTTTTGGGGGGGTTGTCCCATCTACTTTTGCCCCATCAGTCGTTGGAATGTGTGCATGCAAACACACACACACACACACACACACACACACACGTATGGTTTCCCCACCCCTGTATTAAATAATGATGTATGTTCTTAATGCTAGTAGTATTCAAAGTCATACCTGTATCTCAAGTTTATTTGAATTAATTGGAGTGTCGGAATACATTGGATGAAGTTCAGTGTTGTGCAGTTATAAAAGTTGCATCAGTGCAAGCATATCAGCTTGCCAGACAAAATTATTCCCTCTCCCCTCCCACTGCATGCTGTTCTGGGGTTCTCCTACAGCCATTTGTGAGAGGAGGAGAGGGGAGAACAGTCCCATTGTGCAAGCAGACACCCATTCGTAGGGCTTCCACTGACAGGGTTTGTCAAGTGAATCCCTCCCATAGTTTAATTGTCCTGCTGTACTCATGGCCTAGTACATGCATAGAGCAGTGTTTCCCAACCTTGGGCCTCCAGCTGTTTTTGAACTACAATTCCCATCATCCCTGACCACTGGTCTTGCTAGCTAGGGATGATGGGAGTTGTAGTCCAAAAACAGCTGGAGGCCCAAGGTTGGGAAACACTGGCATAGAGCACAAGGACTTGATGGTGGGGGGTTAAGGTGTAATAAAACTGCAGATGAGATACAGCAAAAATGCAAATAAAATGTTAGATTTTGTTCTTCTTCACAGAAACTGTTTGGCCGAAAGTTCGAGTGCCACTAAAGGTTGTACGGACCACAGAAAACAAGTTGAGTAACCGCTTCTTCCCCTATAATGAGATTGAAACGGAAGCAGTGTTGGCCATTGATGATGACATAATCATGTTGACATCAGATGAGCTGCAGTTTGGTTATGAGGTAAGACGGCTTCTGCTTTTTGCATGACTTGAGTTGATTGAGTTAAATGCTTCTGGGGACAAATCCTCAGCTAAAATGTTCTTAACCTTCAAGTAGTGCCATGATGCATAATCAGCATAAAGTTCTTGCAGCTATCCAGGAAATGTTGTTAATCTTCAGAAAATATTATCTTTGCATTTTGCTGCCCTTGCTCCCCAGCATGGAGGGAGGATTAGTTATAGTTCTTTTCCAACTCATATGCAAGGTTAGCACATAAAGATGTGTGCCAGAGAGCCTGAAAGATGAAACTCTTGGACAGAAGCAGAGGGGAAACTATATTTGTATTTCTCTCATGACGCTTTTTGGGGATTTCCAAAACCTGTCTTTCTGTGTTGCCCGTTTAGTCTTCTACTGTAAGCAAAAGTTTGTCTACAGCACATTGGATGATTATTATGGCATAGGCCTCCCCAAAATGCTCTCAGGACAGCTTAACATAAAATAGAAACAAATTAAATATACAATAACCATAGGAACGATACCATAAAATATGAAGCCGCATAAAAGTAAGTCAAGAGCAGAAAATAAAACAGCATATTCCACAACCAGGATGCTACCACTGAAAAGGCCCTATAACCACCTGCCACACCCTACCTGGCAGGAGTCCCTGGAGAAGGGATTCGAAGATCCTGGAGTAACTGCTACAGCTATTACTAGCCCTCATCCAACCCACTACTATGTCTAGATACTGGTTTAGGGCTTGCATGGCCACACAACAAATTTCCTAAAGATCATCCCCAACAGTTTCATATTGGGGTGTGAGTGTGACCAGCAGTACTTCACAACGCAGCTGCCTGTGGCAATCACCCAGTACCATTCTCTGAAACTAACCCCATAGATAGGAGCCAGACCACAGAGTCTGTCCAGGATGATGCCATCAAAAGGGACTAAGAGATAAACCAGAAGCAACAGGGTCGCACTCCCCTTATTCTTATCTCGATAATGGTCATCAATCAAGGTGACCAAGAGCAGTGCAGTCCTGTCACCAGGCCGGAACACAAACTGATAAAAGGTATAGAAAATCTGTATAACTTACAACCCTATTGAGACTCTTCTCCCCCGAAAAGAACATTAGCATTCAGGTGGTAGCCAGGATGAGCAAAGATCGAGAGAGTACGTGCTGATTGCATTGTTGCCAGTACCTGTTGGCCCTGCTGTTGGCAGTGTCATCAGGCCACATTAATTTTGTGGTGCCCTCCAAGGGTGTGAGGTTCACCACTCCTGGAGTTCAGCATTGTGGAAGCTATAGAAATCAAAGATGTTGACAGTGCTGAACGTTACAGAATAATTTAGGAAAAGTCATTGGGTTTGGCTGGAAGTTGAAGGTGTGAGAGGAGAAGATGAAGTCATGTCAGAAAGCTTGTTTTTCCTTTAAGTGTGCAGGGTTGTTTTTTTAATAAGAGGGGGATATTGTTTTAAAGTGGCAGAGAGGAGAATGAGATGGTCTGGATCCTCAAGTAAGGAACTAAGGAAGAATTATAAAGGAGTGGGTGAACTAATGGTAGCTTATTACAAAAATGCTCTTTAGATTTTTCTCCGTAATCATGAAGAATAAGCTTAAGACAGTTGACATTATATGGAGTTGGTTTGACAGTTGACATACTGACTTAAACAATAATAAAATATATGTGGAAAAAGGAGATTTAAGTATGCCATATGTGTCTCCAGACAGGGAGGTTCTCCCATGGGGATTAGCGGTTATATGAGCAGCCAAGCTTATATTTTCTTCTTTTGGGGAAACATGGAGGATGGAAGGTTACACTCAAACAGGAGTGTGGACAAGTACAGAACAGCTGTGTATTCACAATGGAAGGCTAGACAAATGAACATGTAGCCTGCTCTGGTTCAGAACACATAAGGAAGAAGGACAGAGGATAAGTTTTTCTTTGACACACAAGCTTTCAGAAAGAAGAGAGATCTTGACATGGGACTGTTTCAAATAAGCAGTTTCCTTGGGCAAGTCTCCGAGAGGACTGTGGCATGTTGGTTTGAACAGACTTGGCTAAATAATCTCATGTGTCTGGACTGCTGGCAAAGGACATGGTGAAGCAGCTGTAATATGGGGAATTGGCTGGAGTATCTGTATATGCATTGTTTTTGTGTACTTGAAGAATTTGCATTCTAAGTGTGGCTTAGATTCGGTAAATCAAAACTTACAACAAACTGTAATAATATAGACCATTTAGGAGAGGAGGATATAAAGGTAAAATTTGTTAAGAAAAATCTGGGAGAATGCAAGAACCATCAGTGACTTGACAGGCCAAATGCCTATTGTTGAAATAGAAAGGTCTCCACAAGGTGGCAAAAAGCCATAAAAAAGGGCGCAAAATAAGCCCCCTAAGGATGCCCACTAGGAACGTGCTCTGATGTGTCCCAACCAGCCATATCTCTGATGTTGGGGCTCGGAGGACCTTGGACATGGGCAGGAGGAAACTGCAGCTCATATTTCACATGGGCAGGAGGAAGCTGCAGCTCATATTTCACTTTAAACGTAAAAACACCAGAAATTATACCAAACACGCACTCACCACTCTTTCCATATATAGATCACTTCACAGTGGCTCATGTTAAAGAGGCTAACTTAGTTTCTCAAGGCAATATAGTGATTCAGTGACTGAACTGGGGATCTGTAACTCCCAGTCCCACATTTGAACTTCAGGGTCCATTTTACCTAGTTTGCCTGACTTATGTTGGCCAGATGCTTGGATTGTGGAACTGCCTGAATAACAGCCTGGATAGTCTTTGTGTGAATTTGCTGCCATTTGGACAGAGCTTCCTCTGATTTGGCAGACACATCTGAGTCTTGCAAAAGCTGTTTTTCTCTTAGTGTGTTTAAAATAGTAATAATCATAACAGCCACCAATTTATAGAATAATTCTAGAATCCAGGGCAATGCCATAAATGTGGGATAGAAAAGAGCCCTAAAACATATCTGTTTTAGCACAACCATGCTAATTTTTAATATTAACCGGGGGGTGGGGGTGGGGAACTGAATCAAACGTCCAGAGTATGGCAGTTCCTTTTTTATGCTGTTTCCTCTATAAGAGCATGAGGGGAAGTGTGTATAAATGCAGTTCCTACCTTCAACCCGCAAATCAGTGACTGCAGATCAATCTTCCCTGGGCCAGAGTGTCTTTGACTTGCTTGACAGGCCTGAGCTGGCTACCAGATGTTTAACTTGTCCTCGGCCTGTGGTAATTTATTTATCTGTTTATGTATTTCACCAAGAAAGTATCTGTTGCATTTCTGAGCAGTTTGCAAGGGAATTCTGAGGGAACAGTAGCAACATATAATGTTACCAGGAGGGTTTCTTTTTTAAGTGTCTTGCTTCAGTCAGGAGAAACATTTGGAAACGTGATGTTGGTAACGTTCTTCCTCTGCTTATTCTCCAGACCTTGTTTAAACATGTGGCTGAACTTTCTAGCAGCACAGACTTGTCTGGCTGTATCGATTAGGCTCTTTTTATAAAAAGAAGAGAAAGGGGGTTACTTTGATCTCTGTACACTTTCAGCCATAAAAATTAAAGTAACACTCAAAAGTGTCAGACATTTTTTTTACTTGTTAAAAGTGAACTATTAGGGTCCCTAATGATTTATTGCATGGTGCAAAACTACTGGAGCAAGAGCAATATAGCCCCTATGTGCTGTTTAATTTAAGGAGGCATGCGAATATCTACGGCTCTGTGACTTGAAGTGGAAGCTTTGTGAGAAGTAAGAGGACAGCTTTTCAGCATTGTGTTGACAGAAGTACTGACAGATAGTGTTCTGTGCTCTTAAACAGTTAGGACTATACAACATTTCTACCCATTCATCAGCTGTTTCTGTTCCCCTTACAAGAAAGATAAAAGCAAAAGAGCAAAGAAATGTAACATGGATTCAGCTGAACATAATTTTTGAAAATGAAGGCGAAGCAGACCAGTCTTGCTCTAAACCACATTTTTCATTTTCAACCTTCATGCAACTGGAAGCTACCTTTCTTTAACCATGACGTGGTTGTGTTTAAAATTTGTTTCTTTGTGTCCCAAAATATACATTTAATAACAGTTGTAGTGCTTATGAATCTCTCTGTTTATCTCTCTGTGTTGGGAATTGCCGGTCTTGTCTTCTGTGCGAGAAGCCAGTGGCTTCAGCTCTGCCTGCTTCTGTACACTGCTGAAAAAGAGGGATAACTCTTGCTTGTTCTTGTAGCCCAGCTTGCTTGTAAAACCAACCCACAGGGGGCGACAGGCATGCTAAGCTCTACCCCCATCACTGTGACCATATTCCTTGTCCAAGACTTGGAAGGCAAGGAGATCCTCATGCGCTCATGGCATCTCCCCACAGAGTTTAGAACCCTGAAAGAGCCATGGTGGTGATAAGGGGGAACTTACTGTGCTCATCCCTGCTTCCTTATGAGCTCTACATGTGAATAGAATGCCTGAGGCAGGCTTATGTTTCACATTGATGATAAATGCTAAGTGCCTGTTGAGGCTGAGCAAAGATTTCTGTTCTTCTTGCTGTTTAAGGTTTAACTTGGCACACTTCCTGTATATTCATAGAAAAACAAGTCAGGCGTGGGGCAAAGCCAAAGTGTGTCAGCTAGGTATGGAAAAATGTTTGGCTGCTGCTGTTGTCGTTTTTACCTAGTTCTAATGCTCTTCGACATGTAGTTGCTGGACTTACACTTTGCCATTCTTCTGCTACGGTAATAAAGCGAGCACTATGTCCTATATGAGCAACAGCTGTTTTCTCTATTAATCTAAAGTTTAGGCTCAAAACTTTCCTATGAGTATATTTTCTTAACTGTTCCTAGAAGAATGTATGCTGTCTTCAACATATGAGCATGTGATTACCTTTATATGTGGTCACCAGTTAGCAATAAAACAGAGACTAAGACTGCCTTTATCACCCATTCTAGCTCAATCTTTATGCATTTCTGGTCATGAAACTGTGGTTTGGAGGCAAGGAATGTGATGTCTGAATGGAACCTGGGTTTTGCCTCTGTTCCTAACTTAAAGGTAAAGGGACCCCTAACCATTAGGTCCAGTCGTGACCGACTCTGAGGTTGCGGCGCTCATCTTGTTTTATTGGCCGAGGGAGCCGGCGTACAGCTTCCGGGTCATGTGGCCAAGTAGTAAATAGTCCATCCTTTCGGGAGCCTCTCATTTCTTCTCCATCATTGTATTATACATAAGTATGTTTTGGGTGCTTCAGAGCAGAAGAAAGGTGGAACAACTCCAGCATTTTAGGGTAATTTTAAGATAATTTATGAATAAGTCAATTTACAAGCTATACTACAGGCCTCCTTATATTTCAAAGCTAAATTAGACTAGCTTTATCATACTTATACAAGCAACTTGCATAATTTTTCTGAAATAATATAATTTAGCATGATAAACCTTAAAATGTTTTTATTTCAATTTCACTGCCTGGTTCCTTCCTCTGCTTCCATTTATTAGACATACTTCAGTTTACATCAGAGTGTTGTGATGTTCTTAGTCTCTAATACATGCACTATGCCAGTCAGCTGAAACTGTCTTCACAGCTGAGCCTGCCTATTTTCAGCTTTCTTCCCCAGTCTCTCTTTAACCATTATCTCTTCTCTTCCCCTACAGCTGTCCTTTTCAACCCTCCCCCACCCCAAGTTTTTCCCTTAAGTTTCCTGTCTGGCCTCTCATTATCTGATCTGCCTTTATGGCACAACACTTCTGCACTGGTATGTGCAAAGAGTCGCAAACTCAGTGACACTGTAGCAACACTGCAAGGAGAGCTGCTCCCCATTTTACATTATAGGTCTGTCCATGGGGTCAGAAATAAGGGACTGATGCTAGATTCTTGGACAATGCCAACAAAATAAAAAATAAGGGTAGAGAAGAGGGGAAAGCCACCCAAAGAATCTTTGAAAAATGTTTGAGAAATGAAACCAGGCCAGGTTTGAGCTGTGAAACCCCAGATTCTGTGGCACTAATGTATGACTGACAGCGTTAAAAGCAAGGAGAAAGAAGGAACTGAAGAGCAGAAAGACAGGGTGAGAATCTTTGGGTTTGACAAGTAAGATTCTTGTGTAAGATTCTTGTGCATTTTCATCAGAACTGTCTTGGTTGAATTATCGGGATGTAAACCATATGAAATAAGTCAAGAAGCATTTATCAGAGTGAAAATGGAGACACCAAATATGGAGTGACCACATGAGAAGTTAGCTAGCTCTTCCATTGTTTCTGATGTTTTGACTGTGATCTGTCAGAACCGATCCACACATTATGTGGCAGTCATGTTCAATGTGAATACACTGGTGATCACAATGTTTAATGTGGTGAGCACTCAGAAGCGTCAAGGCGGAGATGCACATCTCCTGTCACTTGCGGGTAATAGTGGAGATGAATTATCATTGGTACATATTATAAGAACGTAAGAAGATCTCTGCTGGATCAGACCAAAAGCTCCATCAAGTCCAGCATTCGGCAGTGGCCAGGCAGATGTTTCTAGGAAGCTTACAAGCAGGGCATGCCAGAAACATCCCTCTCTTGCTATTATACCAGATCAGACTATTTGCCCAGCATTGCCTAGTCTGACTTGTTTGACTTCCAGTGGTCCTTCGGGGCTTCTAGATGAGGTCTTTGCCATCACCTGCTACCTGACACCCTTAAATGGAGATGCTAGGACTTGAACCTGGGACTTGCCTGTGCTCTTCCACCGAGTATGCTCCCTCTGCAGAAACGTCTATTCACTGGTGTACTGCCTCTCAGTATTTACTTACAGGCATACACAACTTCTTCCGTGCTTTACAGTGCTCACTGTAGTGAACAGTGGTACATAGGTGAAGCACACCTGTCACGTTATTCCTAAAATGTCTGATTAATGCCAGTAGCATTGCTTGTACCAAGCAAGGGAAGCACCCATGCTGTTTTTAAATATTCACACATACACATAAGGTTTTTTTGTGTGTAAATTAGAACCTCAGATAACTAAACAATGCACTTCACAGATAGAACTTCCTCTGTCTTTAAATGGCCTACCTGCAATTTGTACCACTATATTATTGGGCACGTACATCTTTCCTTTCCTGCTCACTCCGGGAAATGTGTCTTTGAGTAATGTAGCCAGCACTGTATAGAAGCTAAGGGGTGTATTAATGATGACTTGTCCCTATTCTTGTCAGCTTGTGTTTTGATCTGGTAGTCGCTAGCAGAGTAATGAAGTGATAGGAATAAGCATCCTGATTGTATCCAGGTGCCAGGAGCAAGGCAAGTGGAAAGAAACTGTATTAGTACTGCTACCAAAGCACCTAGAAAGTTGTTGAAAAACATAAAAAAGTTCTCATGTATGTCCAAAAGTGACTTGAGCCACACTGGGAAATGATTCATACAAAACTACTAGATTTTACTAGATTAGTCCATATAAAAACTGTTCACCTCATGATCAAAGCATTTGTCTTAACCCGCATGTCCAAAGTCTAAACATGAAAACTGAAATTGTTTTCTGTTTATTTTTGTAATAATAAGCCATATTTGCACACAAAAAAAATTCGTTTTTGAAAGTGCATATTGTATGAAGTACTCTTTGTGAAGATTTATTGTTTCAGATTACTGTGTCACTAGATTTTTATTTTTTTTACTCGCTCCAAATGCAGTATCACAAACTGTCACTGTGGTCACTGACTGAAATGAAAAACAGTCACATCTGAAGCTGTTTGGGGGAGCATATGGTAGGTGAAAGGAATTGAAGAAAGTGAAATAGGCTGTCAGGAAAGACTGTTGTATGAAGCAACCATTTAATCTCAAATAATCCTTTTGCAAGGGAAATGAAAGCAGATGACTGCTTAACACAGCTCAAGAAAACAACTTAAATGTTTTGAAGACACTTGGTTATAACATCTCATAAGGATGACAGCCTGCCTGAAGAGTCTTGATCCCTGTACTATATTGCTGTGCAGTAGAGTGGTATTTAGCAGCCACTGCCAAGTTGACAGAGGGACAACTGAAAGTTGGCTATAGACCAGAATTGGGCAAGGAGGAGCAGCAGTGCTGATGCCACAGTAGGGGGTGGGGGCACACCCACCATTCCCACAAGAACAGATATAACAACAACAACAACAACAACAACAACAACAACAACAACAACAACAACAACAACAACTGCTTTCAGAAAGGCCCAAGGAGAGAGCAGCTGCTGAAGCAAACATCACAAAATGGGGAAGGGAAGGTTCGTCAGGGGAGTTCTGATTTACACCATTGTAACCTGTGGCAGACACTCTGTATTTATTATCTATAACTGCTATTTTCTGGGGTGGGGGGGGGACAATATTATTAAGCCAAATTGTCCAGCTTTTTGGCGAATACAATTAGCATAACACCTCAGTTATACTCTGCAGGTATGGAGAGAGTTCCCTGACCGGCTTGTCGGATATCCTGGTCGCCTACATTTGTGGGACCATGAAACAAGCAAGTGGAAATATGAGTCGGAGTGGACCAATGAAGTTTCAATGGTGCTCACAGGAGCAGCGTTTTACCACAAGGTAAGAAGTGACATAATTCTGAAGTAGTGGGTTTGCCTGTGGCATAGGGACAGAGCCTCGTATGTCAGTAGTGGATGGTAGACACGTTATAGCATAATGCAGGCGTCAGTGATCTTCCTCTAATGTACTGGTTAAGGCAGATATGAAGGAGAAAGAAGCCACATTCTGTTGGTGGATCCCTTTGAATAAAATGTCTATCTCTTTGGAATATTTGGATACAGACTCAGAGGTATAATGTTACAGGTTTTTCAGCAGAGGGGAAGGGCTAATATGTTTGCATACAAGTGGCTATTTTTATTCATCTCTTTGCCCTTGAATGGCACATTCCATATTTTAAAAATGTTTTTGAAAGATTCTTTGATTTGAAAGAAGTTCACCGTGTAACATTAGGAAGGCTGTGTTTGAGTAGCTCAAGCCCAGACATTTCATGGCCATGTGGTACTGGTTCTTTGGATCTAGGCTACTGGCACAATTAAGATTATCAGAAAAGGTTTTGAGCAACATTTAGAGTGGAATGATGAGGTAATGATTGTGTTTCCGGAAGCCACATCTTGGTTTCTGAATGTTTCGGAAGTCGAACGGACTTCCGGAACGCATTCTGTTTGAAAACCGAGGCATGACTGTAGTTGGTCCAGCAAGTTCAAATTGCGGCTTGCCATGTTGGATCAAGTATCTAAGCTACTGAAGAAATTAGGGAATAGAACAGTGGGGTGGGAATACATGTTGGGCATGATACACCTCTAGTGGATTTGTATCTTCGGGGCTGCCTGCTCCCATGTACCTGCTTGTGTACTGCACTAATCCTCACAAGTCCTTCTCCAGTTGCCCCCATAGTGGTGACCAATGACATCCTTTCCAGTAGTGGCATACCTATCTTTGGAATACATTCCTTTAGCGCCCACTCTCTCTGTGGCACCAGGCAAGGCTCTTTTACATTTTTAAAATAAAAGGTATTTTAAAATGCCGCCTGTGTTTTGGAGCGCACACACCCCTCCAATTTTATTTTTCTGCTGTTTTATTTTTATTATTCTTTTTTTTAAAAATTCTAATTTTGATTCTAATTTTTTTATTAATTCCTTTGTGTTTGTACTCGGAGCATATATAAAATAAAAGTAATCATAAAATACGGTTGGTTCCATCCAATGGTGCGAAGGCCAACCTGAAAGGGACTGCTGCAAGGATGTGGCATGATTTTTTTGGGCAAACCTCTGTTAACTCCAGTGGAACCTTCTCACTTAACTCCCATTCCAGTTCAAACCTGTCTTGGTTTTTTATGGTTTAGGAAACCTGCAACTGCAGCATATATGCACAAATATTACTTTTTTAATCTCAAATCGCTTTTCCTTTCTGCAGTATTTTAACTACTTGTACACATACAAAATGCCTGGGGACATCAAGAACTGGGTGGATGCTCACATGAATTGTGAGGACATTGCCATGAATTTTCTAGTGGCCAATGTTACTGGAAAAGCAGTTATTAAGGTAAGCTTTGCTTCAGCTGTTCTCTCAGACTTGGTAATGTTGTATTTTATTCATGCCATTTTTTTTAATCCCACCCTTCCTCCAAGGAACTCGATGTACAGGTTATCCCTCACAACAACCCTGTATAGTAGATTAGGTTTAGGCTGAGAGACAGAGTGACTGGCTCAGGGTTTCCCAGTGATCTTCATAACAGAGTAGAGATTTGAATCTAGATCTCCCATATGTTCCCGGCTATTACTTTTGGGCAAATGTCATATGGATTTGAAGAGTTTGAGCCATTTTGGTTGCGTAAGGAGGTGTTGATCCCATTAGCTGTGATCATTCTGACCAGACAAATGTTGTGTTTGGGGGGGGGGCGTGTGGAGGGGAGAGCAAATTAAACATTTTTTGTTCAAATCACTGAGCAAAATTAAAAGGGGGAAAACATGCCCAACCCGATCCATCCCTGTCTATCTTAACTGGCAACAGCTGATTTATAGGAATGCTAATTGCAGGAATGTTAATTGCAAGATCAGTTTTTAAATGAACTTTTATCCCTGAATTAATTTCCTGACATGTTTCAACACATTTCCTTGGCCTGGATGTTCACTTTGTCTGCTCATTTCAAAGTGTGTCAACTCGGAATGAGATTTAGAGGCCTCCAGGCATTACTTCAATTAGCAAGGTCTGCTTTCCTGCCTGTCCATCATCATTTATCCAGACCGGTGGCTGTGCTTCCTAGAAAAGCCTTAGAAGATAAAGTGTGTGTGTGTTTGCTGTGAGAGTTTCTGAACTGTGCAAGGGCACTGCAGAGTCATTTGGCACCTCGGTGCAGTTGGGAGAGCCTCGCAGAGTTTGCCAGTCAGCTATTAAGTGAGCAAAGTGTGTCTGTTGGATTAAGGTTACGGTGAAGTATGGGAAGCTATATTTCATCGCTCTTATGGCTGCAAGAACAAATGGTGTTTATACAGGGACCTTGGCAGTGAGAAAACAGTCATTAAACAGGAATTAAGGAGCTTGTCATCGCCACTACTTTCCACTTACAGAAGGCAAAACCCCTCCAAGCATTTTTTTATTGGGTCACTGTGAGTTTTGCAGTCAGCTGGGCCAGATGGAACTAAGTGGCATAGGTTCTCCCCCCCCCCTTTCGAGGGTTTGACTTACAGTACAGATATGTTCAAGGGCACTGTGCTGCATTTCTGAACGCGGGGATTGACGTTTGTGCGGTGACAATGTTGCGTTGACTTTGCACAGGTGACCCCAAGAAAGAAATTCAAATGTCCAGAATGCACAGCTATTGATGGGTTATCACTAGACCAGACACACATGGTGGAAAGGTGAGTGTCCCATCCTGTTCCCTTTGCCATTCCCAGTCCATAAGAGTCTTTGAAGTTAGGACCAAATCATTCACTGCTTTTTATTTACAAAAACATGGTTACACAAATCTAATTTGCAAAGGCAGTTTTAGCATGAGACAACTTGCCCGTTACTTATGCTGAGAAGCTAGCTGATTGCATCCCGAGCCCAGCAGGTCTATTGGGTTTGAATATGTACTATACACACATATGAGCACAGGCATCCTTGTGCTTAATAAGACGGCATGTCAAGCAATAATAGAATTGTTTCAAGTAAATTAAAACGATGAACTTACCAGAATGAAAGAAAACCAGAAATAAAACGTGTATAGGAAAGAGAGAATGATCTGAGCTCAAGGCTTTGGAAATGCAGCCTGCATTGATATTTTAGCATGAAAGCAGATAGAAGTAAAACACGGTCCCCTTTTGCATATCTCCTTTCATACTTCCTTGATGACTCCATTAAAAAGCATATTTTGCTACCTTTTGAAATAGGGTTTAGTGGTATTGAACTGTCAAGTTTACGTTGCCATGAGAGAGGGAAAGTATGGCATATGAAGAATAATCTGAAATGCATACCTCTAAATGAGAGTAACTGAGAGAAACAGTATTATAGTTCAAACAAATTACCTATTGTGTTATATTTCAGAATCTTGAGCTCTGTAATTCTGGATAGAAGGGCACCCAATCAGAAGAGAAGTAGCTATTTGAAGCACACTTACCAGACATCTACACACTCCTTCCTTTATAATGCCTTGCAACTATAACAATAGGGATATTTTGTATTCACTTTGTGCTCTTTCCATCGCAATGTTTTACTGAGAAGTTAAGAGATCACTGGTGAAATGGACACTGTCACAGGCTGTGTGAAGGACTGATTTATGAGAAGAGATTAAGACAAATATATATAGCCTCGATAAGAAATTACTAAATAGGTATAAGTCTTCAGGTATTTAAGAATGTAAACACCAAGCATGGTGATAAGTTATTTTGGGTGGCACAAGGATATATAATATGAAAAAAGGGGATTAAATTCAGGAAAAGCCATCAGGAAGTACTACTTAATCATGACATCTTATGCTATAGATTAGAATAGTTTCCAATTGGAGGGGGTGGATTCCTTAGGAACTTAAAATGTGAAATGAACCTTATCCTTTTCCTCCTGTGTGGGCCCTCTGACACTCTCATCATGAGTCCTGTCAATGAACAAACTAGGCTGCCACCTATGTAGCACTATATTCCACATTTTAACCAGGCCCTAACCTGTGTTAATTTTGAGAGGAACCTTTCCTTCCAAGCAGTCTTAAGACAGGACTGCACTAACTTTAGAGGATTCAGAGGCAAGATCTAGTTGCACAGTATTCTTCATTTTCAATTTAATATCATAGCGTTGAATCCTCTTGTCCGTGGCTTAGATCTTATTTCGTGTTCTATCTCCCATGGTGGAGGCGATATTGCCTCTTCATACTGGTTGCTGAGAATCGCAGGCTGGTTGGGTGAGTGCTGTTGTGCTCAGCTTCTGCACACAGGCTTCCCATAGGCATCTGCTTTTCTACTGTGAGAACAGAGTGCTGGATTGGGTAGGTTTGGCCTGACCCAGCAGGCTCTTCTTACATTATCATATCTGGCTTCTCAGATTTTCAGGCTTAGTGGTTCTACTGCTGTAGACTTAAATTCCTCATCCGCACCACCTCCACAGCATATCTGGATGAGATAATAGTTATGAGAATCATCCAAGGTGGGCATTGGGTGCATGAACGGTCCTGTTCTGGCTTCAGTGGTACTAGTCATGTGTCTCCCATCATTTTGGGCTGATGCATCATATTTGATCCGGATGTGTCATTCACGCCCTTTAAGGGTAGAAAGCACATTTGGCTTTAATGTCCATTGTGTTTATGGGATGTCATTTAATTTTCATTTCTGTCAATAGCTTTTCTCATGCAGATCTCCTCCCTCAAATATCAAGTTGACATTAATTTCATACAGGATATTAAAAGAGCTGCTGTACTGACATTATTCTTATTTATTCTTATAAATAAATCTCAAAGGAGCACAGGGTGGTGCACTTCATACATATTTGTGTGTTCATTTTCCAGGTATCGAACTGAATATACTGCACACAAAATTAGTATCCTAGCACCTATGTTTTTGTCTGTTTTGGAAATCCAAGTTTCCAATCCTAATGCTTACTGAGAAAATCTTTCAGACTTATAGGCATTGTTGATTTCAAGCTAGTGAAAAGTTTTAAAAGTTTCTAGTGGCCTTATGGAAGGGACACTAATACCCCACAATGGACATCATCCCCCATGGCAATTATTTCTTGCTTCCTTCAGCTTACTGACCACTTAATCATAATTGCCATGCCCTTCCTTCCCTTGTTACTTTCACCACCCGATTCCTTACTTAAGACTTTCCCCATCATAAAACTGTTTCCCACTATCTGGCATTGAATGAGTTTTTGCACCCTTTGTATTAGCATGCTCACTGGAACTTAGTATGTTAAACATCCAGCACAGTTTACCAGGGTACCTTGTAGACATCAGAGTTCTAACACTTATATTCTTTCAGATAAATTTGTTCTGTTACTTACTGCTAACCCCGTGGGGAGGTGGGGTAAAATCCAATATTATTAAATATGGATACTTTATTTCACTCAGTTGGACAATGAAAATAAACCAGTCAGTTTCAGGTTTGGGTTTTAAAGTAATGTTGTATTTCAAGCTCTCAAGTACAATCAGTGCTGTAGAGACCCTAAAGAGAATGCTTGTTTGTTTTTAGGGGAAACCCTGTTCCCAGGGAATTTTTAAAATAAAATAAAAAATCCAAGAACTATTTCAGAATGCCTTTTGGTTTCTTAACTGCTTATTTTTGCAAGGCCTGTTCTGAGCCAAATTCAACCTGACAGTGGCTCTTTAAGAGCTATGTTGGCAGCTAATCCACCCTAGTTTACAACATGTACATTGCTTTAAGAATGCCTGGAATTCTGGTGGGGAGGGAATAGGGAATCTTTGACCTCTGTGGAAATGTGCAGCTGACAGCATCTCCTTTCTCTTCGCTACGATTAAATGCTTCAGTCAAAGAGCTTCACATCTTTGCCAAATCCTATATGGTATGAGGCTCCACCTCCTGTTTGGTGCATCTGACCAAGTAGGAAAATGCATGCAATAGTGTGCTAGGTTTAAGGTGCCAGTGGCCCCTTTACTGTACTTCCTGTCAGGAGCTCGTCCTACACTCAAGTAGGACCCTGGCAGAGACACATGCCCAACTGGCATGTTCTCTCCCTCCTGGTTGATTGTTTGGGAGCTTCAAAAGCTTTTTTCAGCCCGAACATCACAGCGACCGATGCCAACTGACACTGGCACACTTAGGGATCCACAGAGTGTTCACAGTTTGCGTAACAGACCTCAGCAACTCAGCATTTTGGCCAATCTACTTTATTTACATATAAACACATGGCTCCCTCTCTCTCTAGCATCAGACAGCAAAGAGAAAAAGAACAATAGTCCCACTTCACGGAACACAGTAACACAAACATCCTGTCTCCGTCACTTCCCACTCTGTGGAGTCAAAACATACACTGCCATGTGATAGACAAAAATCTCATGACTGCAATCATGGAGCAGGAATTCTAACACTTCCTACAACTTACACAGTGACTCCTCCGAACCCACTAGTGTGCTCACCACCCACATGTATTTGATGTACAGCTCTGGGAAGACTAGGATCTTCAGAGAGCAAGATTACAGATGCACACCTTAGTTATGAGAGTAAAGGAGAGTCCCTAACTACCCAAGCCTGAAGACTGAGTGTGATAATTTGCTACAGGAGAAAAAAGAAGGGAGGGAGTATAGCTGATCTAGGAGCAAGTGGCGTGCAAAGTCAGGGATAGCAGGCTGTGTCTTCTGTGTGATAGTTAAGCTCTCTCCTTAGAATCCTGTGCCAGCAAAGTTACAGTATTCCTTGCCCATTCTTTGGTCTGTGGTCTAGGGAAGCCAACCTAGCAGTTCGAAAGCACTTCCGGGTGCAAGTAGATAAATAGGGACCGCTTACTAGCGGGAAGGTAAACGGCGTTTCCGTGTGCGGCTCTGGCTCGCCAGAGCAGCGATGTCACACTGGCCACGTGACCCGGAAGTGTCTCCGGACAGCGCTGGCCCCCGGCCTCTTGAGTGAGATGGGCGCACAACCCTAGAGTCTGTCAAGACTGGCCCGTACGGGCAGGGGTACCTTTACCTTTACCTAGGGAAGCAGAAAGCTTTATCCCCAAGATCGCAGAGCAAATAGGGGGTTCTGTTGGAGATGTGAGCTACCAAAGCACTTAAAATCTGAGGTGTAAATACAGTTTTGGGCTAATACACCTCAGTGGATAGGCTTTCTGGATGAGGGAATAATATAAGACCTGTATTCCTTTGAATCATTGGAGGGTGGTTGTGTTTTTTTGCAAATTCCTATACTTTAAAAGCATCCCACCTACTTCTAAAAGGATAAATATAGTTAAAGGGCAAAGGCCAAGTTATAGAGGAAAGTTTTTGCCTGGTGCCTAAAGACAATACAATGATGGTGTTAGGTGATGCTCCTTGGGGAGAGCATTCCACAAATGAGGAGCCATCGCAAAAAAGGCCTTTTCTTGTGTTGCTACTTTCCTGACCTAAGATGATGAGCTCGGAGTTCAGGCTGGTTCATATGAGGAGAGGCGGTCTGCAAGATATTGCTGTCCTGGATTGTTTAGGGCTTTATTGCTCACAAGCAGCATTTTGAAATGGACCTAGATTGGCAGCCAGTCCTGTCAGGGCCAGGATTGGTTTTATATGCTTAAACTGTCTTGCCGAAATTCTGCACTAACTGAAGTTTCCCAATCGTCTTCAGAGGCAGCTCCACATATAACACTTTGCAGTAAAACAACCTAGAGGCTACTAGAGCATCAGCAACAGTGGTTAGGCTATCCCTGCCCAGATAGAGGCACAGCTGAGACTCCAGATGAAACTGATGGAAGGCACTCTGTGCCACCAAGGCCATCTGAGCCTCAATCAACAGCAAAGGATGCAAAAGTACCCCCAAGCTACATACCTGCTCTATAGGGAAAAAAGCAAATGATGTAAGAAGTCCACATTGGCACCCAGTGTTACGGTATATAGTGTTTTGAGAGAAGATTAAGCTAGATAGTAAGTGCATAGCTAAACTTAGCATATTGTAGTGAAACGGATCTGTTGCTAAGCAATGCAATTGTTTCTTTCCGTAGGTCTGAATGCATTAACAAGTTTGCCTCTGTCTTTGGGACCATGCCTCTGAAAGTGGTGGAACACCGGGCAGATCCCGTCTTGTACAAAGATGACTTCCCTGAAAAACTGAAAAGTTTTCCTAACATTGGAAGCTTATAAAGAATAGTCGCAAGGCCAATTGGATATTGGGATCCAATACACAAACAGTGACTGGTGCTGAGCATCAGGCCTTGGAGAAGAGTTCCTGGGCGTATTACAAAGAGGATGCAGAGGTGCCTCACTCCTGGTGTAATTCAGGCTTTTTCCATGGACAACACAGGGCAAAGAATCAAACCACATGCTGCTGCTGCCTTGCTATGTGGGTCTACTAAAATGCCATACAAATATTTATTTGTTCTACAGACCTTACATTCTGACAAAGAGTTAAGCACAAACAATACAGAATCCTACACACACACACACACAGTATTTTTTCCTCTAAGGGCCATTGGTTGTCACTATTGTGGAATCTATTATGGAAAACACTGCTGTCTCTCCTAAGAGCTGCTTTCTGCGTTTGCTTCATAGACCCCGCATTTCTCTTCTATGCAAGCCTGGCTTACATGCAGCCTTTGAGATTTGTGATTAGGATTAACTCTTGTGCAGATATGCTAGGTTTTCTGTTTTTGTTTTGCTGAGTAAGATTAGAAAAGAAGATTGGCATGACAATCTTATACAGACTTATACAGGGGGCGGGGAGATAGCAATTGGAGTAGAATAAATCATTTCCTTTACTCACATTACTTCTTCATGAATGTGGAGACATTTCATGTTTTTTTCACAGAAGAGAAGACTGCATGCTTGACCAGCCTCAGTCCCCTTTTCTTACTATGCTGAAACATTTTTTTCAGTTCAGATGCACGTGGTCAAGACCTATGCAGCATCTAAACAAAGTTGATACTTTGAAACTCTGCTTAGGAAACAACATGTCATGTTCTGATTCTTAAACGTGTTTCTGGAGAGAAATGCACTTTCTCTATTGGATTGTGCAGGTATGAAGTATATTCACAGCTAATAAAAAGCAAACTTTTCTGACCAGCCACTATCTCAAAGCTACACACAAAGTGTTGGTACGTAGAATTCACTGCCCACAAGATAATTAAAATCCATTCACTGCCCCATAAAGGACCACAGTTCAGTAGAATGTGCTTCCCCTTGAAAGCAGTCAGCCACCAACCATCTGTACTTGTTGTACATGAAAACCTCGTTTATTTCTGTAGGACTTCCCAGAAGAAGGACAAACCTATTCACAGATAGGAATTTGTTGGCACTTTTTAATGAAAACACATTGTATGTTTTAATGTAGTTTGTTTTTGTTTTTTATACAGTTTATTTCTAATAAACAAATAATACAACACATGCTTTACATGCAAACGGGTTCAGATCCTGACATATCAACATAAAACAGGGAAAGACTCCTATCTGAAATCCTGGGGACCTGATGTCAGTCAGTGGAGGAAGTAATGGGAATGCACATACAAAATAGTTAAAGTGGCACATCAGAATGAGCTGGACTGAGGAATGAACAGACATGCTTTTGAATTACACAGACCTCTTTACCAGAAGTTAATTGGAATAACATGTATAGATTGATTTATGTTGAGTTTCTTTTTCTCTTGAGCCAGCACAGCAGCAGCTACTACCCAAACTAAAGATAATAGGCGTACGTTTATGTTCATCTAGGTGAGGAAAGAGTTTTCCTCTTTGCACCAACAGTATGGCGTTCCAGTTTGATGCATTATGGGAGATTAGCACATTTCTCTGAAGCCCGCTCCACTGTTGTTTTCAGAGGTTACTCTTATCTACGGTGTCTGCTCATGCAGTTTACCTAACTGCAAGCTGCATGACAAATGCTAGGAACCTTTTTCATCCTTCTCACGTGAGACTGAATGAAAGAAATTGAGAATTGCACAGATTCTCCCCCACCCCTGAGTATCCTGGGGGAAAACGGGCTTGCTCCTTGTCAGGGTGATGCTGATAGAACACTGGCTGGAAGGGGGTGTTTCAACTTCAGACTCTCAGGGAGTTACAAAGTAGACTATTCCGTTCAACAGGGAAGACGGGTTTTTCCTACGTATTTTTTTTCTAAAGTTTTCCAGATTACATCCTTTGCTATATCTTTGACTAGAAAATAATGATAGATGATGGAGGATTTGCTGATTTCAAAACACCAGGAGCTTTATTTTGAGCCACAAAGAACTCTTCAGTAGACTCTGATTTGCAAAAGGCTTATCACTGTAACTAATTTTGCATCTGTTCTGAGTGAGATAGTGGGCAAAGGACTCTCCTTCCTTCTGGTTTAAGAGTGCTTCATCTAAGGTGGTTCTCTTTTCCTTGGTGCAAGGCAAGTGAGAGTGGGCCATTCTCTTTTTTTACCAGTGGGAACTTAAGCTCAACTAACTACTTTTTATCTATGTTTCATTATAAACTATCATCCCTGCCCCTATAGTTTTAAAAAACCTTCCTGTTCCTTTCTTAGGAATACAGTGTGCAAGTTCTTTAAAAAGTTATCCTACATATATTGGTGTTCCACAATTTGATTTTCTTTATCTGGGATAAGCTCTACATTTAAGCTGAACTGCTGCAGAATCTATGCCCATCTTTGCAACGTTTTATGCCCTTTTAATTCCTGCCCCCATTCACAAGGCCTTCGTTTGTCTATAGCAGTTAGTTGCTCCTAATTGTAAACATTATTTCACAATACTTCTACCATTAGAAGGTATTTGTGTCCACCAGTGTGAACTAGGTATAAAGTTAGGGTAAACGATTACCCTGACTTCCTTTCCATTTTTTGCAAAATTGCAAACAAGACCAGATACATATTTTTAAAATAAGGAAGAATATTTGTTCCCTAAGTGCCAGAGATTTTAAGACACTTAACAATTCATAAACCTTTGTTTCATTATAAGACTCATTTCATAACCAATCCATTTATCTGTTTCATCACTTAACCACCAGCTATCTTTGACAGTTTCTGCTTCTTTATCTCACCTCTTCCACAATCCACATTTCCTAAGCTATGATAAGGATGTGGATATCTCAACCATGGTTTACTAGTTCCCTTCTCAGATGTTACTAGATCAGTATATTCTTTAGGTGTTTCTGATACACTACCAGGATCTCCAACCTGAAACATCATCCTGTTCCAACTGTATGGAATCAGTTTTTTTTCTGGATGTCACCCTTGGTGATTCCTCTTTGTGCCACTGATAGTTCTTGACTTCCAGTCTTAGGGTTCATCCACACTTTCATTTGACCCATGTTTTTTGTTATATTACATATTGATCTCTTATCCTGGGTCCAAGAGCTGCTCTTTTTCCTCCACTGCTTGCTCCAATTAGAACCCGATGCTAAGTGCTGAATCAGGTTTTACAAGATCCATCTCCCATTTGGACAAGCAGGATTCAGCATAGTTACTGGTTCAGTCCCATACAGCTTGGAGATGTTCTGTATATTGAATCAAGTATGCTGAAGAAGTCTCTTATGTGAGCCTCCCTTTGTTCCCAAAAGAGTTACTGTGTCATCATGTTATCACCCTAAATGTGTGTATCTCGGCTGTAGTACGTTAATGCATATGTTCATAAAGGCTAATCGTACATAACTGGGAGGGCAATTGTACCCACCGCCACAAGTTTATCAACCGGAAGATAAACTAAGTGGAATTCTGATTGGCAAATGGAATCTCATTTCACACATGGCATTTTTAAAGGTGCACACTAAATGTTAACTGCACATCTGGAAGTGAAAAATGTGAATGCACTAAATGGGTTTGTACTTTTGCCAGGGAGCTGTGATAAGCTGCAGCTCCTTGTTGAGTGTACACTCAGTAGCAAAATGAGTGTACACTCACATTTGCTGCTGCCTGATGTGAAAACATTCAGAAGCAGGCTGAAATATCCCTTTCTTACCCACCTAGATTTCAGAAGCATTAAGTGAACAAACTCTTTGAAGGAGTTCCAGTGAAGGTTGCTTTTTTAAAATAAGTCTTCAACCAGTAAAATGTGTCACAGGTATGGTCCTAAAACATTTCACAGCTGCATTTATATTGGAAACCTTTTTCCCCCTCTACTGTCTGTTAGCATTCTTTAATGACATTGTCCAGGGACCACTTTTCCCCTGTGTGTGTGTAAATGCGTTTTCTTTTTAAAAATTAAAACATTTGTAAATACAATGTGCCTGAGTCAATATATTCTCTTGATTGTACAACCTGAGGGAATAGTAATTTTAACAATGTATCAAAGATGACTTGTGATTTGGAGGCGGGGGATATTTTTAAAGAAAATATGCCAGTGTGTGTACGTTCTGTTCTACTCGTGGAAAATTTTACTGTGGGTTCTAGCAGCTCTACTCTGATTCTTAAAACAAAAAACAACACATAAGCAAACACAAAATTACACTGAATCTTCTAAAAATATCAACTCTTCCAGCATCTGGTGGGTTTCAGCAAATAATATTATTATGTATAGATGCTGCATCTTTTTTTTTTAGAAGCAGATGTTTTTATTCTACAGGTGAGAAAATGGAGAGTCTTGAACATGGTGTACCATATAAGGCTCAGGTGGCAGCTCATCTGGCATTATATCCCAGGGTTGGAGGTTAGAAATTATCATCATCATCATCACCATCAACTTTTAAAAAACTGTCTTCATGTGATGTGCACTGCAGATAATATTAAACTGTTAAACACAAAAACAGCAAATACATTTAAAATTAAACTAAAACCATACAAAGTAGATACAAGGTAGATGGATCTTTCTTTCTGCTAGCTGATGTTTGGTGTAGCAAGGTACTGCTGTAATCCTTTCACAAACCCTGTAAAATAGGCCAGTATCCCATTACAGCAGGGGTGGTAACCCTGTGGCCTTAGCCATGGGATATGATGGGAATTGGTGGCGAACATTAAATGGAGAGCCATCATTTCACCGCTCCTACATTACAGGTATGGAGCTGTGGGTTGAGAGGCAGTAGCTTGTCAAAGGGCCACCTCACCTGACTACAGGCTAAACTAACATTTGAACCTGGGATTTGGGGCACATACCTCATTTTTTTTAACCAGTGTACGATACTCACAGTCACTGCAGCTTTGCACTTCCAAACATGGGTATGTAATCTATAGTGTTAATGTGATTCTAACTTCCCTTCCCCACCGATTCACAATCAACACTAGAAATGAATTAACCTCAAAAGGAAACACATGAATTAAAGCCCACTTAGTTTATTTTTAAATCAACATTCTCTGATACTTAACAGTATTGAAGTTGGTGGGACATAATTTAAATCCAAGGGTGTTTTTTGGTTTTTTTTTTTGTTGTTGTTGTTGTTTTGCTTGCCTGTACTTTGCTCAAGGATAGAAGTTGATCAGAGGATGAGAAAAGCAAGGCCAATTGAGGAAACAGAAATTTAGAGGGGGTATATGTGATTTGTGTATTTTTCAAAGCCTGCACGGTCTTGGACATAGCAATCGTCCCTTTTCAAACAATAGTTTCTGTGTTCCTTTAGACTCATTTCATTAAAAGAAAATGTAACCTAGTGCCACAGACATGTATGTTATTTAGTTCAGTTAAACTGCAGAAGTCTCGTTTTCTAAGGAGCTGAGAAAAATAAGAAAATACAGATAATTGCTAGAACTCAACTTGAGAAAGCGGGGGCAGAGATGGTTTTCCTTCACCTTTTTATTGGGACTGCAAACTATACTGACATTCCCTCAGCACTCTGAATCTCCTCGCCACAGCATGTTAAGCTGAGCTATATACATTGGAGGGGGTAGGATTCTGTTTTCCCAAAAGCTATAATTTATACACGCATTTGGAGCATTCATTACTGTAGTTTTGAAGCATGCTTGAAATCTGAGGTAGTCCAGTTATGTTCTCCTTGAGAGTAGATCAGAAGCTACAATAGACTGAATCCTACTCAATGCCACAGAAAGCACGAACCAAGATGGCTGCCCTTTATGGCCCAAAGCACTAGCTAACCAAGCCATCAGCCCACCAGTATTTATGATTGGTGTGTTGCTCTCAGCCTACCTCAAGTCTGAAGCTATTTGGAATCTCTTGCCTTTTCTGTGTAATTTCAGTTCTGAACTCACCACTGTTTTACAGTCCTACATCTGCTGAGCTTCAGGATTCCACCGCCTGCCAGGTTCTTGTGGCGGTGGCTGTGAAGGAAAAGTTGTGTTTCTCATTAAGGGGATAACAAATGGCAACATCTGAGACAATTAGCTGAAATGGAGCAGTGATGGTGGTGGCTGAGGCGTAATCCACTGGAGGAAACGCAGCACAGCCCTGATAGGTATTCCCAGCAGAAATTCCAGCAGGCTTTCTGAGAAGGGATTCTGAATGGAGAGAGGCCCCCTCTTCGCCAGCTTCGTTTTCCGGAGTTGGTTCCAATAATTCCTCTCCGAATGTCCTTGACTTTATCCTCGTTCGCCTTGATTGTCAGTTTACTTGAAGAAAGAAGGAGTTAAGAAACACTTAACTCATTCACCACCTAAGTTCTGTCAGACCATTTTTATAGTTCTTGGTAAGTTGAGACATCAGTGGTAGTAGATTACCTTAAGAATACACGAGAGAAAGGGGGCAATCTACAAAACCAGTGAACATTTGTAATGCAGTGAGAAATGGTAATTTTAAACTTGATTGATGGGCCCCTGATCCTGAACTATGCCTATTTAATTTTAGTAACTGGCCATGTTTTATTTATTTCTTTTGTTCTTGCAAACAAACGCTGACATAAGAAATGCAGAATCTCAGTTTCTGGTTGCCCTTCGTATCAATTTAAATAATATAGCACCTTGATTCCTTGCTTGGGAGCGGTGGCACCGCCACACTGCATGCACAATGGATAGAGCCTGAAATGTTAACATTTGAACATTCCCAACAGAGATCCTATTGGGGATCATTAAGATCTCAAAAGTACGGCTCCTTGTTTAGAGCTACATCTGAAGTTGGATCTTCCAGTGCAAATGCTCAGACTGGCAAATAAAGTGAAAATTCTGTGAGCAATGTGGGAGATGAAATTGTAATGGCTTTTATGTGGGTCTGCAGAAAACAGGAGTCTGAGCTGCAAATATCTGTGGTTTCTAGAAGTTTAAAGTCAAATGTGCTTCCCATCATTTACACAGAATTCCAGATTACTTTAATTACCTATGTATAAAATAACTAGAACTTATAGTTACTATATTCTGTACTTCTTTGTAGGTGATACATCAACATTCATAGAACCCTCCTTTAGTTATCTGCACTCACGTGGACTTTTTAATGCTATGGCTTTTTACTTTGATATACTGCCTCTGTTGTGAAAAGTGCAGGTGTTTGAAAAACTGACACCTTTCCTTTTAAGATGCACACGCACTGGAGCTAAATATAATCCTAAGAGATGTAAAGCCTAGAAGGGCACAAAGAGGCTAATGGCCTGAGCCTGTCTGCCTCATCAGTAACTTTCAATCTAAAGATAAATAGCTGGCAATAGATGGAAGAGGAAGGATACAACCAACAAATTCTTATTTGTCTTGGATTAAAAGTAACACCTTGACACCTGGTTTCCATATGGCCATAAAGAGATGCCTTTGCCACTTTCTCATAAGCAGCAATGATTGTTCTGTATTATTAAAAGATTAGACCACTCATCTTTGAAAGGAAAATGTAAAGAAGAAAAAGCTGAACTAGTAGCTTATTAAACATTACTTTTCCATGATGAAATTTCACACCTAAATGGGTTTAGCCTATTAAACAGCTCTCAAATCTTCTAGCCATAAAATTCAACAGCTGTGTGGACTCTTTGTATTCTGCAGTCAGTGTCCCGACCTGGCCAGCTCCTTCCCTGTATGTAATGAGAAAATAACCCAGAAGCCTTTAGGGTTTCTCTTTTTGATATACATCCTGATCCATTTCCCCTTGCCACCTCTCCCTCCTGCTCTGCAATTATAGGTGGATTCAGATGACCTGCCTGTCCCTGCAGTCAATGTATTCTTATTTTTTGTATGAACAAACATAAATTGAGCAGGATACATTTCACACCCCTTCGCTATGCTCACCCAATAAATTTGAAGACGTTGTTCAAAGCAAGTCTATGGAATAAAGTACAGTAGAACTGCTTTGAGTTACTATGCTGTTTAAACACATCTCTATGTAAAAAGAACCCAAGAATGCTCTATCCTTTACAGGGTTTTGCAGGAATGGGAGAAACAGAAAGACCTTCAAGCAATGCAATGTGGAGCTGGTTCCTCCACAAGTGGCAGCCCTAGACTGGGCAGTACAGTGGCCTATTCTAAGAATGGCACAGCTCAGCTCAGCGAACTCTTAAGTCAGCTACCATGTGAGGGGCAAGGGTGTGAAGGAAAACATGTTACACAATCTCGTGTAAGTTCAGGAACTATCTGGTCCCATTGCCAGATATTTGCTTCCTTTGTGCTTTTAGATTTTGCTGGAAGCCACCCAGAGTGGTTGAGGCAACCCAGTCAGGCGACATATTACTATTAGTAGTAGTAGTAGTAAGCCCAAGCTTGAACACATCCTCCATTGTGATCTCCAAGCTTACTCTCAGTACCACCATCTATTTGCCATATTCCTACTATGTAGAGAAGCATTCCTGCTGGCTGTCCTGTAACTTGTGGGAGAGGGGTTATTGGTTTGTTTGATTATGTGTGTTCTCATTGTGTATGTTTATGTTTTGGCCACCATGTGATCTTCAGGTGAAGGGCAGTATCCAAACTGAACAACAACCACCACCACCACAACAGAAAATGGGTGTAGCTCAATGGTAAAGCATTTGCTTACATTCAGATGGTTCAAGGTTCAATCCTAAGCATCTCCAGAACTTCCATGTCACTAAACAATATGGCTCCTCCCATAACTATTTTTTATAAATGGCCTTGAAGGTTGGAGTGGAACCACTGGGGTACAGTACCCCCAATCCTCACCTCTCAGAGCCTTCCCAGAAGGATACAGGTCAACTATATTAAAAGCCACTGAGAGATCGAGAATGAGGAGACTGGCATCCTCTTTTGCCCAACAAAGGACATCAACCAGCATGAGCTCACAGTGGAAACCTAAAGGAAAACAAATGTCAGAATTGGTAATTTGTGGCGCTTCTCAAGTGAGCATCTGTTGAATAGAAACCTAGATCACTTTTGGGTTCTGATCACAGACTGATCCCTTAATAAGTTATATGGAGAACCACTCCCAACTTAATTTCCCAGGTGCACATGCACTTCAAAATGCAAACCTGTGAGCACCAATGCTGCATCAAAATCATCCTCTACTTTTCTCCTTCTGCTTTTGGGTCTTTGGTCCATCTACCAGCAGCCTCTCAACTCTCTGGATGTCTCATGTTTTGCCTGCAGGATGTTCCCGTCACTGCCTCTTGGCTGCCAAGAATCTCTAGAGGCAGTGAGGCTGTGCGCTGCCACCTGTTGTTAATCTAGCCTTGTTTAATCCATTCTGCTCTGTGTCAGCAGTTCAAAAGGGCACTGTTAGTATTTTTTGCCAACTTCAATTAACGTGAGATTTTGGAGGCCCCCCTCCGATCGCATTTCATCTGCCATGAGTCAGGCACAAAATAGACAGATTTCAGTTAGAAGCAGAGAAGAGATGGTTATGGCAACAAAGAAGAAGAAAAATAATACTTATTTGGATCTCTTCTGCCTGTGCTCTGGGTGTTTGTCTGTCTTTTCCCAGCAACTTACTTTCTGTTTGAATATTGTTTGTAGCTCTAAGGGATTTCGTTTCTCTCCCACCCTCAACTCTAGGGAGAGAAAAGTCTTAAGTGCAATACCTTACAACAGCAGCAACAACAACAGCAACAGAAAAAACAAGATGCAAAGTAGTTTGTTCTTTTTTAATATTACAATGTAATGAATTTGCAGTACATATCTGTATAGGCAGTAAAATTGTATGGCACAACCTCACACTGCAATTTTTGTGGGCATTTTTTTTCCATTCCATTATTTTATTCTTGAACATTTTTGAATGTATATTTTCATATATTCTGCCCCAGGCCATAAAGCTAAAGGGAAAAAAAGTTGCATTTATACAAGGTTACAATATCTTACAACAATAATATTGACTGAGGTTTGTTTTCTTGCGATCTTTCTCCCATTCTCACTTTCAAACACTGCACACCCAAAAAAATCTGATATATTATTATACATTGAAAACTGTCCTTCAACATCAGTAGTATAAAAGTCCTAGCGCTATCTATGTTCATGGAAGGAGTACTGGTTTGGGTAATACATTACCCGGATTTGCGGTAAAGGGTCACAACTGGTGTGTGGGGAGGGGGGGAAGTCACACTTTGGTTTCCCTGCACTACCATCCATGAAGTTGAAAGCAATCAAAAGCTTTCATCTGTTCAGCCTAACTCTGCCCCAGTTCCCATTTGGGCTTTCTTTCTTTTTTTAATTCCAAGTGTTTGCTTTTTTGCTATGTCAGTCAAAGCAGCAAAATAAACATGGAGTTCTCAGCGGCTGTGTCTGCCTGATCATTTTTCAACCATTTCCAGGAAGCTACCTTTTTCACTGTTGTTTGTTTTCAGAGTGTTTTACAACGTACTGTGAAAACTTAGCATACACCAAGACAAGGAATAACCATCCAAAAGAAGAAGAAAGACATAGGGATATCCTTCCCCCCTCGCGCCAAATGCTCATATAGCTCACATTCTGTTGCTCTGGCCAGCAGATAATGTTACCATGGGAAGGAGAGCAAGCCAATGCTCCATCAAAACAGCCCTCTTGACCATGGTAGTATTCAGGGTACTGGATTTGTCCCTAGAACATCTAATTGTTGACCCCAGAAAGCCTCCTGAGTTCATTTATGTCCAACACAGAGTAAAACCAGGCAGAGCACTCTTGTGGAGGGCTGGCATTAATGGAATTCTCTTGCTCGGGATACATTTTTTGTTAGAACTACAAGCTATGTTAGACTCTAGACTGCCGCTAAAATGGCAGCCCGGTGTTGGCTTTTCCTGCGATGGCCATGTCATTTCCATGCCTACATCCCAGTCTCAGCCAATGAGGCAGAGCAGTGGCAAAGACGTGTCTCAACATAAGTGGCAGGAGGGAAAAGGGCTTGGCAGAGTGCTGCTGGTTTTGGCAGCAGCTCCATTTCAGAGCACAATGTTTTATTTTGTCCTTAGGGGTGAGTTTATTTAGTCAACGAATGTGTACATGTTGCATTGAACAGTTTAGTGCAGTGTTTCCCAACCTTGTGCCTCCAGATGTTTTTGGCCTACAACTCCCATCATCCCTGACTAGCAAGACCAGTGGCAAGGGATGATGGGAATTGTAGGCCAAAAACAGCTGGAGGCACAAGGTTGGGAAACACTGGTTTAGTGCATGGTCCACAGCACTCCTCCAATTATCCTGAAATGTCTTCTGAAGGATCTGCTGAGGTACAGTCTAGATATAAACTGAACCGTTCATACACAAAGCCACGTTGGAGTTGACATCAGCATGTGACCAGCAGACTTCAAGCAAACCTAGTCTTAGGCAAAGTACACTTGAAATACATTTCTTGTGCACACAGACTTCACACACCACACTCTTGTACACTACTGCATGCATGTATGGTCTGCAGTGCACAGCTAGAGTTGGCCATCTCGCTGTTCTAAAGCAACAAAATAATGGCACGTTGCTCACCTATAGGAGTCACCACATTGACTTTGGGGTGGAGCCCAAACTTTTAGCCCCACCCTGGCATTGTGTCTTTTCCCTGAGACACCTGCACGTCGTGCACCGTTTCTTGTAGAGTAACCCCAACATGGGAGCTTGGCTTGGTTGTGCAAGTGCCTCTACATGTGAACAGGAGTTTGCATGTTTGGGTTTCGCCACAGGCAGCCATATGCATGATGTCAGGGCTAAAAAGCCTGGCTCTGCTACAAAGCACATTTGGTAACGTGCTGCACATGAATAACTCGTGAATAGGACTTACACATACAGCAATGTACCCCTCAAAGTTAGCGTCCAGCAATATGACCATTTTTGGAGCTGCAGATTTCACGCTGAAAGCTAAGGCAGCAGCTAAAGAGGAGGAGGAAGATGAGGAGGAGGAGAATAAAGAGTTCTCCCCCACCCTAGCTTCCCAACTAAAAGCTGAAATCACATTGGGCAGAATGCTAGTCATGAGAGATCCTATCCTCCACCCAAGAGATGGCAAACTTAGCTGTTTATACAATAAACATACTTGCACAGGCAGCACACACACTCACAATATATTCTCCTAGGTATGCACACTTAGGAACACAAAAACATGGTTAAGCATGGATAATATTACTTATGCATTCACACACACATTAAGTGATAGCCAGCATTCGTCATCATCAGAATGGCTCCATTGATTTCAGTGAATCTATTCTGGACATGACCAATGTTGGATGTTGCCCATTATTTCTTGCATGAGAGTTCCAGGTACAACTCTCAAAGGTACCCTTCTGAAGAAGTGTGCATGCACACGAAAGCTCATACCAATAACAAACTTAGTTGGTCTCTAAGGTGCTACTGGAAGGAATTTTTTATTTTGTTTCAGGTGCCCTTTCAGTTAGACTGACCACGGGTAGGCCAACGCCATTCAGAGGAGTGAACACTATCAATGCCAGAAAAGTGTGTGTGGGACCTTGATTTCATAGCTTTAAAAGGTGGCGAGGGGCAAATGAGAGCACTTATCCCTGATAAGTTGTTTGTGCCACAACAAATGCAACATTGTTATGTACTTGTTGTTGGGAGAACACAGGTGTCATTTCTGAAAGTTGTACTTTTATTGATGGGTGTTGTGTTTTCCGAGCCCTTGATGCACAAGGCATGATCCAAACACAGCAGAAACACTTAGTATGTCCTAGTGATGTCCTTAGCATTTTCACTAAAATCAACATGAAAACCCATTTTTTTATCTCTGCAGGTAGAGTATCAATCCTTGTAAGGCTTATTGTAAAATGTGGGTCTGGAATTAGCACAGGCATGTATTGGATAGTGCACGTGACATCATCACAATAGACAAATAAGAGAAGTTACATACATACACCTGAAAAAAGAAAGTGTGTGTGTGTGTGTTATTGGATCTTTTTAGTCTGTGCCACTAGCACACTTATTTCTGCAACAGTTAAATGTGTAGAACTAGTAAAATGGCTAGAGGGATAGATGATCATGTGGAATGATCACATGGTGGTGAGGGAACATATGGCTTCCCCATCTCTAAATGAAGGCCCTGCTTCATTTACCTCTGCTCCACAAATAGGATAGTTCCAATTCCCCCCCCCCCATTCAGATTTTCCAGTAACTTTTCCTCCTGAGAACCCATGTGCACTGAAGACCAAGAAGCCTTGTGGTTGATGAGCTGACTTTTTTGTAAGAATTCCTGTCGGCAGCCTTCCCATTCCAGGCCAGAGTGTGTGCAAATGCTTGTGATTCCACAGCCACATGTAAGCCAGAAGGCAGGTGTGTGCTTGTGTCCCAGGCATCACTGACGGGGGTCTTGCTTTTGTGACGAGGCCCGAATGAAATCTCTGTGCCTGTATAGCAGCTGCTCACTGGCAGAAGGGAAACCAGTAGCTACCAAACCCAGTAAACACCCTCTTAAAAACCAGGCAGGCGGTTTAAACCTCCTTCTTTCTCTTCTCTGATGGATATGTAGCTCTGTGCTTAAGAAACCACAAAACCTAAACACTGTTTAAAAATCAGCTTATTCATAGCTGAGTTGGGCGGAATCTCAGCTGACTCGATCCAAATCTTCTTTGATCAATCTATAAGGAAAGCAACCACAGGGGAACTGGGAAGTTTCCACCATCCTGATGAATGGGAGTGACAAGAGGTGGGTCCATGTCTGCTAAAAGCTTTGAGCTGAAAGCAAGAGCATTTCCAACCAAAGAAACAAGCTCTAGCTTTATTCCTCCAATACATGGCATGGGCAATCTTCATGTGGTGGTTTAAGTCAGTACAAATGGAAGGGGACACCAGGAAGACTGTTTTTTGAGCTAGGCTGCGGATTGCGGAATTGTGAACACTGTTTAAAGAAGGCACTTGTTCTGGTAATCATGAAGATCTATCTTCTCTTATTGGTCAGAAGCCTGTGACCGTAATAATATAGGAAGGGAAAACCATGTTCTTTGGCCTTCTGTAGAACTAGCCATGTCACCTGGGCAGGAAGACAGGACAAGGATTTTCTCTTTCTTGTAGACCACACTCTTGTCACACTCTTGCTCTTTATTCAGGTCAGTAGTCAGAACCTTGTTTTGGACTGCATTTATTGATGGCAGCAGCTCCCACAGCTTAATTTCATTCCTCAGCTCTAAAGCAGGGCAAAAGATGGAAGAGGGTGGGCCATGGATCCTACTTTATGTTGATTTTCTTCTTTATTTTCCTACATTTCCATGCTGCCCATGCAACAAAGTTCGCTGGATGGCACGCAAACAGTCACTTATTTGAAGGACTGTCAGGATGTGGTCCTATCTCTGGTCCAAGGCTGTTTTAGAGACAAGGAGTCCTAAGGAGAGAGTGAGCAGGGGCATCCAAGTTGCCCATCCGCAGGCAGCTCCTGGGTGGCAGACCCAGCAGACACGCCGGCCACTTGGTCAGTCTTCCCCACTATGGTTAGATGCACTGCATTTCTATGGGGAAACCCAGCCAGATGGGCAGGGTATAAATAATAAAGTTATTGTTAAAATTATTATTATTATTTCAATTATAGTTTCTACGTTGCATTATAAATTAGCGCATGCAAATGTTACGCAAATCCGTGCCCATTTTTGTCCTCTGTTTTGGTGATAGATTTTTATCATACTTGGCAATAGGTACACAGTCCCCCTACAAGGATGCAGGCCCTACTACTACAGGAGATGGCACAAATATCGTTGCTTTGAGTTGTGCTGTTCTCATAGCCCTTGGTTTGCTGCTTGGATCAACCCAGATTCCTGTGTGGTAGGGTTGCCAGAGCACAACATGGAGATTGCCTGGGACCTTTATTATCCTTGCCAAATTGAGAGGTGCATTGGCTTCTCTTGTTCCTTTCACGCTGTGCTCCACCCCTGCCTGCTGTGTGGCAGTCCTGTTCACTACATACAGCAGATGTCAGGAAAATGGGAGACAAGACTGCGGCTGCTTCTTTTTACCCAGTGCAGTTGCCAAGGCAACCTCTGGGTTGCAGCCTGGCATCTACAGGTATTCTGTGAGTTGAATCAGCGTACCCTACACTCAGCACACACATGCATGCACACACAAACACCAGTCTGGCACTCGTCAACTAAAGCAACCACATTATTCTGGCATTATAGGTATCACAGAACTGCCCATAGCATGAGAATAAATGGTACTGGAAATGTGCAGAGCACTCAACTGGGAAGTGTGGCTTGAAGCTTTTGTGTTTTAAAGAGAAAGACAAATCCGGTGTCAGAGAAAGCAGGGGAGACAAAGTGTCCTTTTTCATTGGCAAGTCAGGACAATGACAGCATTCGGGAAACATGCCATGTGAACACACACACACACACACACACACACACACACAAAACTCAACTTTGTCTGGTGCAGTAAACACACCCATTATTTCCTTCCACACACCTGTTTGTTGGGGACAACAACAACAAAATCCCCTGCATGTTTAAAACACTCCAAATACGGCAACACACGTAATGCTATTATACCTAGGATAGCTAAAAGTGCTGCATTCAGATCTCTGAGTAGGGCACTGGCTGCCTCGGGTCCAAGAGTGGATGGATTGGTTTGATCGTCCCTGTTTGCTCGGTCAGTGTCTGGAGGGCAGCGACTGCACCTTGTCATGTCGCCCACGATATGGCAGCGCTGTGCTCCTTGGCTTTCATCCGCAGGGCCGCGATGCTGGAGGACTTGCGGTCAGGCTCGCCGTTCAGCTCGTAGCCGTTGATGCCGGGGCTGATGGCTGCGCCGCCGAAGAGGCTCCCCATGTGAGTCTGTCCCACGTGGCTGCCGGGACCAGAGACGCTCAGGAATTCGGAGACCCCTCCGGTTGTGTGGGGATGAGTGTGGGGAGACATGCAGGAAGGCACTGAGTCACAAGGCACGACGCAGGCAGGGACGGGGGAGGCAGCACCATTGTTGCCAATCCAGGATGGATTCTGGATCTGAGATGGGGGAGAAGGAAGGAAAAAATCAGTTAATGAGCACTGGTTTATCCATTGGTTCTCAAAGTGGAAAAGATGTTGTGGACAGGGAGAGGTTGTCCGAGTATTAAGGTGTTCTGTATTGAATCAAGCCAATGCCTTCTCAAAGTAGTGTAGGCATCTGGGAAGAGCACATGTCTCTCATTACATTGATTGATGGTGCTGGTGGCCCTTGGTGCTCTTGTTTTCTTCTTCTTGAGGTTTTCACATCCTTGAGATTATTTATTATTATTATTATTTTCAGATCATAAATTGGCCACCTCATGCCCATTTTCACATCTCATATGCTCTATCCACTGTGCTATTCTGCTTTTTGAAAAAGCCAAGGAATAGAAAACCCTGTGCTTGAAGACACTGTTGATTAGTTCATATTGAAATTCTGTCATTCAGTCATGAAATGCAGAGAGCCTTGATCAAAAAAGAGGGGTGGGAACCCTTAGATGAATTGTCTGTCTAGCCCAGGACTTACCTGTCCTCACCGACAGCAGCTCTGCCAGTTTGGGCAGGTGATCCTGGGCTAGGCAGTTCTTAAATCGAGGCATTTCTGGGAATTGTGTCCGGGGCATTCTGCAATTAAATACACTCTGTCTCTGAGCTCCCCCCTTTTCCTTAGTGTGAGAGAGAAAAATTGCAATGACAACAACAAGCATATTATCTAGGATTATCTAGGATGCTGAAACCAAAAAAAACGATCCTACCAAAGCAGAGAGCGAAGAATGACTTTTACCAGCAGGAGGCCCCTGGGAGGTGGGGAGGGGAGGTGTGTTGGGGGGAGAATGTGAGATGAAAGAATGCAACAGGAGAGGATCCAGATGGAAAGTAGGAAAATGCCTGTCTCTGAAAGGCCTGCATTCCACAGCCTTCCAGCGCCATTCAGCTCTGGCTCCAAGCCTGACCTTTTACCTCCGGCAGACTACATCTCTGTGGCAGGTATAGCGGGGGAGACGAGGCCGTAACATTCGGAGGTGATGAAAGCAGGGGACGCAAGATAGCCAGAGTAAAAATGCCATCGTTTAAATTTATGGTTCTGCCACATTTTGAATATCATGAATATCATGTCTGGTTGACCCCCATCTCGAAGAAGGATCATCATGGAGCTAGGGAAAGTACTGAAAGGGGCAACTGAAAGCCTGGAGATCCTTCCCAACCTAAAGCATCTTTCGTTATGCAGTGGGAGGAGATGAGCAAGGGCAAGATGAGCAACCTTGTCTGTTTCCAACAAGTGGGAGGGGGGAGAATTTCCCTTGGACCCCAGGATGTAAAGCGGAAAAGTTTAACTCGTTCTTCTTCTGACACTTTCCTTCCTGGGCATATGCCTGTTTGCTCTGAAGGAACTCAATGGGGCTTACTCCCCCCAAAATGTGCACAGAATTACAAATGGATGGCAGATTTTACAAGCCACTTCCAAATTTCTCCAGGTTATACAGGCAACAAAGTACATGCTACACATTTATTTCCTATCTTTGAAATGTGAGGGTAAGTTTCACAGCTGTTACAGAGGCAAAGGTTTGTAACACCGTATCAGTTCCTTGAACCTTGAATCACTTGTCTCATCCTACCATATCCCAACTGACTAAAGGCAGGGCCTTAGGGTGGTATTCAACACTGACTCTGGGGAGACCTGATGAAATTAATGGACCTGACTGAGTCATGTTCATTAATTTCATTAATGAGTAAAGCTTAGTTGAATGCCACCCTTAATGTTAAAGAGACAGGTGTGCTGGTGGCAGACACTCACCTGGGCATAGTTCTCTGCTCGAGTTAGTAAGGGCAGCTCATAGGCTGTGGAGAAGTGGGTGCGGACCTGCTGCATTTGACCAAACCGCTCTCGCTTCCTCCATTTTGCCCGTCTGTTCTGAAACCAAACCTGAGAAGAAAAGCACAGGTTGAAAAGCACTTCAGGAAAGGAAGGAAGGGGAGAGGAACTCAGTACATCTACTGCATCTGGAGATGAACAATTGCCTCCTCCAGGCCACCCCAAGTTGTAAGCAGTTTGAAAAATAGAATTCTGCTTGTGTTGTCATTGTATACCCATCCCATATTTTAGACCTTCCTAAAATGGCAACGTTGATATCAGTGCTATTACCTTCTGTGTAGTAGCTGAACGTTGCTGGCCAAGAAGCAGGCTGAGAGAGTCTTTTAATATGGAACCTAAATCCCACATTTGGGTGCTTATCTCAGCAGAATCACACATAGGTGCTTTCATTTGAGCTATATTTGTATTGTACGTTGCTCACAAATAACTGCTCATGAACCTTTGGTTAATTTGAACACCAACATAATTACAGTGGTACCTCGGTTTACGAACTTAATCCGTTCCAGAAGTCCATTCTTAAACCAAAGCCATTCTTAAACTGAGGTGCACTTTCCCTAATGAGGCCTCCCGCTGCCAGTGTCCTTCCACTGTTCGGATTCTGTTCGTCTCCTGGGGCAAAGTTCGCTAACTGGAACAGCTACTTCTGGTTTTGTGGAATTTGTTCACCGAATAGCTCATTAACAGGCTGTTCGTAGACCGAGGTACCACTGTATATTGAACAAAATTAGCTGTTCCTCTCTCTTCTGGTCCATTTTTCTGGTATGAGAGCTTCATTGTCTTAAAGTGACAGGTAATCATCCTACATTGTATCTCTATATCAGGACACAATGACATTTGAGTTTTCAGAGAGCTTCCTTACCATATCCTTCCTATTTATTCTGCACATTTCTAAGAGCAGGTGTAGCAGAATGCCAAGCTACAAATTGGGAACGACCCCGGTTCAAATCTGATCTCTGTCACCAATTACACTAAGGCAAGCCATGTTCTCTCAGCCTCAGTCTGCCCATAGGCTTGGACCATGCAAGGCCCAAACAGACCTGGCCAGTGCCACTTGCAAGGCTGACCCAAGGCATTGTGCTGCCTTAGATGGATTCCGAGTTCCTCTAACTTTTCTGAGCATACAAACGGAAGATGCTGTGCTATCTGTTTGTTTCTCCATCAGTTATTTCACCTGCTTTCTTAATCTGCCTACTGTGAGGAGAAACAGCTCTGAAAGTCCACCAACACATACCCTTTTGGGCCCCACTGATATCAGAGCCCCAAAGTCCTGTCAGGTCAGGTTGCTGGAGGTTTCCATTATGGCAGCGGGGGGGGGGGGGGGAGTCCAGTACAGAATATCTTTATCCAGTGCAGGAGCTCCATCACTGACATGGGAGAGGAAGAACCAATATATCCCAATGTGCCTGGGACACTCTTCCAGAACTATAGGGTTATTCACTTATCCACTTACCTAGAAGCAAGTCCCATTGAACTCACGCCTAAGCCTGACTTCCAAATACATATCTATAGAATTGTCCTGTTAAGCTCTTTATTCTTATATCACAAAGAGATGGGACATATACTGAATGTGCAATGATTTGGTGAAAGGCAGAATTATAAATTTAATGACAACAACAACAACACAGTGGTACCTTGGTTTACGAACTTAATCCGTTCCGGAAGTCTGTACTTAAACCAAAACTGTTCTTAAACCGAGGCACGCTTTCCCTAATGAGGCCTCTTGCCGCCGGTGCCCTTCCACCGTTCGAATTCTGTTCTTAGACCGAGGTAAAGTTCTCAAACCAAAAGACTATTTCTGGTTTTGTGGAGTTTGTAAATCAAATCGTTCTTAAACTGGACTGTTCTTAAACTGAGGTACCCCTGTACTTTAAACATATTTAGCCCATAGCAGCTGTAACCTGTCACTGATACAGTCTAGAAAAAGCCTGCTATTAACACAACTTGTAACTTGGTTGCTTGTGGAGGTGCCAAACAAGGCTAATTTATTTAAAATTATTGAATTTTATATTTACAGTGAGATGCATGGCCAACACAAGGAAATGCATAGATTAATCTGATTCACTATGGGTCCAATGCTTCACTGTCTTCTTCTTTCCTCCAATGGGAGTTTTGAAGCTTTGTTCATACTTTTGAAGCTCAAACAAAATCTTAATACTAATCTTGTAATACAGCACCAAACAGCAGGGTTCTACAACATATGCAAGACAAAATGAAAACAACTAGAATTGAGGAGAGGTGGGGGGGGAGAGATGGGAACTGTTTTACAAGGTAAAGTTTAAAAAAAGATGTACCCAAAGTATAAATGGTGCATTTAACTAAGCAAGATTTGGTCACAACTCACAGGGGAACAACTATGAGTCCAGAGATATCAAAGTGCTATGGGCATGATGTGAGACAACCAACTAAGGCTGTGTAAACCTTCCTGTTGACTCAGCATCCAGTGCGCTCCCATTGCTGGTTTGGGCAGAGGCGGTTTTAGGGTAGTACAACTAGCACCACAACAAAGTTGCAGAATGGAGAGCGGGAGGTGAGAAGGCGCCAAATTTTAGCATCGCACAGGGCACCACTGAAATTTGAGAGCCCAAAGGCCACCACTGGTTTGAGAAGCGGTGCACATATACTGGCCATAATCCAGATATATTCTGTATCTATCCTGTCATTCCTTAGGAAACACTGCATTTTTATGTGCTTTCTGCTCAAACCAGTTTCAATCCAAATTGAGAAAAACAGTGACCTATCTGCATTTTAAGTCAGTAATATTCACATAATTCCAGTCACTAAAAAGTGATTAAAAGGTGTCTGATCTGTGGATGAACTTCAGAAACCTAGTTATCTATTCAGTCCTCAATTATTATTTTTTCTTGGAAGATCTTAAAGTTCAATATTCTATTCTAAAAAGACAGTGATGCTGCCATAATAGTAAATCAGCAGTACACTGTCACACAAAAAGACAAAACTATCAACAATTAAAGCAGAATCACAATCAGTTGCCATTGTTTTTGCCTGTTTATGCAAACTGACTATGGTTAATTTTAAATTTTTTTGCTATGTTTTAAATGGCTCATGTATCCACCATGCAGTTCTACTCTTTTGCAAGGGATGATACAGTTATTAACCAAATCTTTAAAATAAATTTCTTCCTTTCTTAAAATATAATAATCAGGAACTAGAATATTGTGCTTTCCAAAGGAACATTTCTACAAACTGGTTTACATTAACTGTATTTGGCTGACCTGTGTCCTTCATCTATTCCCTTAAATAAAACTGCAAGGAGGATTGAACAGCATAGCAAAGAGGTAAAATTATCTAAAGGGGGCTCACAACTGAATTGACTGTACCTACAGCTGCTTGCTGGGGTGTCATCTGCTTGCATTTATACAAATGCATTCATGTTTTGCCACAGTTTAAATGTGTTTAATTGAATTTTTATCGTCATTTTGTGTGTGTGTGTGTGTGTAGTCACTCACTAAGCCTCTCAAGAAGGAGGAGAGCAAAAGTGGATGGCAATATTCTTCCCTCTCTGTCTACCCCTCTCCTTAAAGTCTGACTTCCCTTGTAAACTGCAGGAGTCAGTCTTGCCAGCATCTCACTTTGATCTCCAATAGGAGATTTCTCTCTGTCTGCTTAGGCCTGGCAAGGAGATTCTCAGTGACCTGGAGGTTTCCTCCCCATGTGGCTCCAGGATGGTTTGTATCTCATCCAAGCAGCAGCAGCAGCAGCAGAAGCAAAGCAATCACTCATTTATGTGAAATGACTGAAACCGTGTCTGCATGGGCGTCTGCCAGCTGCAGCCTTTGGAGTTATTTTTGCTGACCTGCAATCTGCAAAAAAAATGACAATCCCCAGCGGTGCAGTTAGGTAATTTTAGACTCTGGCCTTAACGGTATTACAGGGTGAACCCTTTTTTAGATGGTTATGTGTATTAACTTCGCTGACTTCAAGATGTAGGAAGGCAGCCCTGTTGCTTTTGAGGGGCCTTGCAGCACATTCCCTGGGGTTCTGACCCAAAGTCCTGACTTACTGGTACCACTGAGGCAATCCCTACAGGGAACCGCAGAGAGGCTGCAGAACCCTAGTGTGTGCATGTTAGGTGAGGGGAGAAGAGACAGACAGGGCTACATCATTGTTGACATACCACTTGCACTCAGGTAGTGAGAATACAGCATTGCAACTGGGTATATTCATCACCCTCACAGTCTTGTTTTGCCTTCCCCACATGCTGATATGACCCCTCCCAAAAGCAGCCCAGCTGGCAGCCAGTCACAGGCTTGGTCAGCCGACGTATCTTTGATCTGCAGATGCCGAGTCCACAGGGTGACCCTGCTGTGCGAAGAGGAGTGGGTAGCAGGTAGAGAGGGTGCCATAAGCTGCTAGCAGAACATATGCTCCGCACATGTGTCCATCCCCAGACACGGCAAACGCATTTCTTTCTGTCATGGTGAAGCATTCGCTATGCTGCTCGTGAATATGGATGATGTGCAACGTGCAACTGTTCTAGAGCGTCTAGGAGTGCCCCTGGGCAAGGAGAAACCTTGACAGATGATTTCTAAGGGGAGGGTTGTGCTGGCAATGTGTGTCGGAGCCCAGAAATCAAAGCCGTTTTCATACGGGCAGGTTAAAGCCTTCAGAGGAATGAAGCTGACCCTACGCTGATGAATTAATTGAGTTGAGAGGGAACCAAGATACTGTTTTACATTTCTGAAGGGGCAGGCATTTCAGGAGCCGGCATTTTGACTAACAAACTCCTGAGAAAGTAGAAGAGGGGTGCATTCAGGGCCCTGCTCAGCAAAATGAGCAGGAGGGACCCTAAGCGGGGCTGTGGGCTCACCACATTTTGAAGTTGGTGAATTGTGGCACTTCAAGAGGACTCCCCTTGAAAGACCAGAGTCTCAAATAGCTGAGGCATCCAGTTCTGCCTCCCTGCCAGGAACAGCCTCCCTCCAGCTTGCTGCTACTGCTGGGACCAGCTGATCTTCAAGGATTTGAAAGCATATGCCCCACACTTGTTGTTATGTACTGAGTTGAATAGGATCCAAAATGCAGCAGTCTGA